TCCCTTTGATACTTGTAACCGACGCAGCGGTTTGTCTGGCGGACTACCCGAGGATCAGGAACGCGTATGAGACCTTCGAGGATTGGACGGGCGTGGAACCGGTGCCAGAAGGCGGGAAGGTGGTCTTCAGATGCAGTTCAGGATTCAAAGACGAACTCGAGACGCACACGGCCACCTGTTCCTCCAATTTCTGGGACGGCTGGTGCACGACCTTCCCAGAGGATGGGGAGGCTGACCTCTGTCCACCACAACGTAAGAATGCCTGCCTTTCGTTATGCGCCCAGATTTGCAAAAGCGGATGACGTTCTCATGGGAAAGTACAATCGGACTCACATTCCTGAATGGTCATGGCCTTTAAGGAATTAATTGCCTCGAGAAAATTAAATCGTCTGAGATGGCCTAACCACCTGATTCTTATACGTGTATATCCCTGCATCTTGTGACGATTATTTCGCCTTTCAGGGCAAAAGGATCAAGAGGATTAGAAGAACGAGGAGGAGAAATTGGCAGAGGAGAAAGAAGCTGAAAGAGGGCTGTTACATCATTTTCAACTGCACCACTGCACATTTCTTGCTAAAAATATGTTTTCTTTGGTCCTTTGTTGGAGTGTCATAGCGTGGTAATGTAATTGGCATCTTTTTGTTGACGGTTGAATTTCTTCACTTCGAGCTTAACCGATCTAACGTGCAAGAAACGTGCGGATTTCCTGAGGAGTCACGAGGTTCGCGATTGCAGTTACACTGATGGAGACCAAATGCATTACTGGGAATTGAACGAGTTGGACTATCCTGCAATCGTGCCAATTTTTTTTCGCGCGTTTTGCACGAGTGTTGTTGACATGTTCCACGATGCCGTTTTCGGTTGTAGGTCCCTTTCCATGGCTTGTGAATTTACGCGTTCCCATCTTGACCCTCTATTGAATAAATTATGAAAATATCGTGGATATTCTTCAGGTTCGATGCCATCTCACTGGGGAAAATACACACGGAAAAAATTATTGTGAAAACGTATAATGTCGTTTCAACGTCAGTTGGCATCATTATACGTGTACAATAGGGAATGTATCATTGCATCTTTCAGGCACCTTTGAAAGACCCAATGATGTCACATGAAAAAAAAATTTTTCTCGATGTCGGACAGCAACATTCGTGGCATTTCTCCTTCTCAGCTGATCGAGCATCGATGAGTTATGTGCTCAGGGAGAAGGCAATGGCAGAAGAATGTGCGGGGAATCGGACGAATTTGGAGACCGTCGTGAAACTTCCCCCCTTCTTCCTCCCTTTCCCCCTCGCCTCAAAAATTTTCTCGCCCTGTTTTCCGGCTTCGGCCTTTGGGGGGAAAGCCGTCAATCGGCTGGGCGCGATCTTTCTCTTGCTGCTGATTAAAAATTTGGCGTTGGGGAAAACTGCCAAAATGGACAACACGTTTAATGGTGCGTGTGATATGTCTATCGGAAGACCTTGATGTAATTTATTATTTATAATGTAATTTATTATTTATAATGTAATTTATTATTTATAATGTAATTTATTATTTATAATGTAATTTATTATTTATAATGTAATTTATTATTTATAATGTAATTTATTATTTATAATGTAATTTATAATGTAATTTATTATTTATAATGTAATTTATTGTTTATAATGTAATTTGTGTAAATAGAAGTAGTCATTTAAATGCTAGGAAGTGTGGGTTGTAGGCTCGGCTAGCACGGAGTGGCGTTACTTTCGTTACGTTATCGTTACTTTCAACACAGGAATTGGCTGCCTTTAACGGAGGGCGAGTGGGCCCATTTTCCTTGGTCAAAGTGGTTTCCATGCTTGTTCGGTGCCTTCTCTATAAGTTTTCAATGACATCTCGAGAAACTAGACTTCAAAGTGAAGTCGTTAACTTAATATGCATGTAACTTAATATACAATGCCACACACGTGATTCGAATATTTGAATATGCTATCTTTGAAAGCGCCCCGGAGTAGGCCATATTTCCACGCTGATTGATGAAATTCCTCAAAAGGTCGAAGTTGGAAAACGGAAAGACTCGATGGCGGGTGGACGCTTGGCATCCGGGATCTCACGGGTCTGGTTTCTTGCGATTTTGCTCAGGGGGGGAAATTGTCGAATCGCGTCGATGTCGTCTGCCAGAGGCAAGACCAAAGATCGGGGAACCGGATGCAATTCGTGCCGGTCGTGCCGGTCGTGCCGGCCGTGCCGGTCGTGCAAGGAGTCGAGTTTTCATTCGGTCGAAGCGGGAAAAAGGGGAAAAGATGTTATGAGATGAGCAATGTACATGCACATGAGCAATGTACATGCACATGAGCAATGTACATTTGCTTGATTTATGCATGTGTCGTACTAAAATTGTCTTCTCCCGGAGAACATGACTCGTTTAGAGTAATTGGCTCTGATTGAATTACTGGCTCAAAATGCGCAATCCAATCTCATCGAAATCATTTGTCGAAATGTTGCTAATGTTCCTGTCAAAACATCCTCAATTTTCCTCATTCCTTTCCCTCATTCCAGAAACGATTTCTCTTTTCATTTTACCGATCTCGAAAGACTCCGAATCGAAACCGGGAAGTGCCACCCATGGAAATATGCAACCTTCCCTTTAAAAACCCCCAGACGAGGAATTTAAAACTTCACAGAAACCCAGACCAAACGGAAAAACTGACTTCGGAGAAACGCCTGGTCCCCGTCCCCATCGACGAGCCGCCCCGACCCATACACCAGCTTGCACGAGCCATCCGACCCATACACCAGCTGGCACGAGCCATCCGACTCCCTGGCACTGCACATCTCCAGGTTTCTCGTCTGGATCCCCAGTGATACGCTGCCGTATCGTTGCCCCGGGTGAACGGCCCAGTGCAGATTAGGTATTGGTAAGGTATTGAGTGCAGATCCCGTCCTGAACGTGCAGGAGAAAGCGAACAGGAGGAAGCAACGGATCTCCCAGCTGCGACACAAGGATGCAATGTATGCCTTTCAATTTCAAACTTGTAAGAAAATGTATGTTTTGTTCGTTTAGAAATAAAACTTATAACTAATTCGTTCAAATCAGAGACGAAGGTCTAGAACAGGACACTTTGTCGACTTTGTATGTTAGAAAAGGATGCGTGTAAGAATTGGCTGTCCATGAATGCCAGAATACGAAAATATTATACTTCGATTCCATTCTTCAGGTAGGCTAACCAAAAACTTCAAAATCCGTTTGGGAAGACCTGCACAGAAAGATATTATCATTCGATGCGAAGGCTATCACGACAAGGCCTTTCTTCAAGACCTGCTTTGAGGAACAAAAGGGCCCAAGATTTTTTGGGACCAACCCTGTGAAAGAGCCAACGTCGCCAATCGCGTCGCCAGCAAAGAGGAGCGATCGCCGACGGAATTTCTTTCGGGAGAGCGAGACCAGCTTTTAGGATTCCTCCAAATATCACATTTGCCCGAGAAGATGCCGACGATCTTCAAAAGAAGGATGAAATTCCGCTTCTTTCGATTCCTTCAGCGGGAAACCCCGTTACGTGAGAAAAGCACGAGTCAGAAGATCAATGCAAAAAAAAAAAAAAAAAAAAGCCACACAATCNAAAAAAAAAAAAAAAAAAAAAAAAAAAAAAAAAACGCGACAGGGAAGACCCATCCTCATAACCTCAAGGCGGACACGGCCAAGAAGGACACGGCCAAGAAGGACACGGCCGACGACGGCGCAACCTTCCGTGGCGCAACGCCTCCTTCTTCCAAATACGCCCTCGGGCGCGGCGCACGTACCGCACAGGCCGTGATTGATCGCAGGGGCTCACCCCTTCATCCCTTGCGGGGAGGTCGGTCGACGAAGGAGGAAGACGAAGGGGGAAGACGAGACAATAAATGGCCGGGGGACTTTTCCTTTTCTAGTTCCTTCCACAGTCGACCGGAAAACACTCTTGGCTCGACGCTCGGTGCTCGTCGCACGGTGAACGTGTCGTCTCAGCGCCGTTCTCTCACCGTGTCGACCCGTGTCGACCCGTGTCGACCCGTCTCGGCCTGTCTCCCACTTCGTCTCGTGCACGGAGTGCAGTGGATTAATGTGACGATGTGAGTGTCTCTCCCCCCACCCCTCCGAGTGGGCAGGTTTATTTAACGAGGAATTTTTTTGGACCGAGTGTGAGTTGGACTCTACGTTTCGCGAAACCAAAAATGTTTTAAGCATCACTAAGAGGCCAATTAAAGCAACTGTCAAACCCGGAATATCAAATTCAATGTCGATGGAATATTACCGTAAAGCACTCATTATTTTAAGCATGCATTCGTTCGTAGGGACTAGTTGTCTCCACCCCCCCCCCTCCCAAAAAAAAAGGTTTTAGAATTCCACACGGCCACAGATGGAACACGAACCAAGGAATTCCTAGAAACGCATCATGGTTCACAATCTGCAAATGCAAATTGCTTGCGTGCGTGCAGTGCACTCACTGAAAGAAAAGAAACGCGACGCACGCCGAGAATCGCATTCGATCCAGGTTTCCCCGGTGCTATGTAATGCAATTAAGTAATGTAGTAATGAAAAGAGGGCTGTGGTAGTAATGAAAAGGGGGCTGTGGTAGTAGTAGATATATGTTGGCACTGGGACTGCAATAAGCCGACATCCGCTGACAACCTTTTCCGGTTCGCCAGGTGCATCTGTTCCGTCGGTTCAATGGATCCGTCAGTGCCGGCAGCCGGAGGTGAACCGGCGGCTCGGGTTTGAATGGGCACGGCGCATGTCCCGAAAGAATGCGAGAGATGTGAATTCATATCAGCACTGTTTAATTTTCTCATTGGTCTATAAGGAAATACTTTTAATAAAAGAGGCTTAGCACCGATGAGAGCATTCACTTCGATGCCATTATCTGGGGATTTCTTCTCCATTAGAATTCGAATAAATTTTCCCTTGTCAAAATTCTATGATATAAAGAAGTCACATGCATTCCTCAGGAGATGCCAAATAATGCAACATCGGTAGCTTCCATCGCGTGGAAACTCTGATAATGGAACCGGTCGCATACCTCTGCCTCGCCTTCCTGCTGCCTGCGGTGGCCGGGCAGGGCAGATGCCCCGAGGCGGATGAGATCAGGCCCTGCACCTGCGCCGGCCACGATCCGGATGGAGGCTTCCACGAGTCGGACTTGGATTGTTCGAGGGCCAGGACGAGCGAGGAGATCTCCTCGGCTTTCAGGACGGGGTCTTGGCCGACCACTCGCTTCTGGTGAGTGCTTTAGGATCTGCCTCTTTCAGCAGTCGTTAGGTCAGGAAAATTAACTCGAATGAAACGGTGCTGCGGGAAAACCAATTGGGAATCATTAGCGAAGCTTCATACCAGAGATTCGTGATTCACTCAATTAAAACCTGTGATGTTGTATCCTGTGGAAAAATATGTATTCTGCTTCGAGAAAGTGATTTGAAAGTAAGTCAAATGTGTAAAAATATGATTTAAGGTATCGGAAGGGCGTTACCCATCAATATTTAGATTAGCTGCATTACCTCCGTCCAAAAGTTTGAGTCACAAGCTTTCAATTTCAACGAAGAACGTATCGCTCGTCGCTGTAGGGAATTCAGGCTGGAGGACAACGAAGACGTGAAAAAGCTCCCTAAGGGAGTCCTTGGGCTCGTCTCATTCCAAGCCATCAGAATCGACAACACCAACGTAGAAACCGTCCATCCGTCGGCCATCCTGCAGTCGAACGACCGACTCTTGGTGCTGGAAATCCAGAACAGCCGACTGAAGGCGTTTCCATCCCACATCCTCCCCCAACTGCCCAACCTCCTGACGCTCAACCTCCGGAACAACTCCCTGACCGTCCTCCCGGCTGTCGAGAGCTTCAACCTCCGAGTGCTCCATCTCCCGTTCAATAACATCACGAGAGTCGAAGAGGATGGATGGGCCACTCCCAACTTGAGGGTGTTGGACGTCGGTGAGTGACATGATATCTCTCGACAGTCGTTCTAAGTGGAGTCGTAAAATGCGGAATCGTCCGCCCTTGAGGTGGATGGAGTTTCGGCACTGTTCGAAGGATTTCTCTCTCTTGACATCATCTTTGTATGCCTGCTCTCATCGTAGTATTCTGCGTAGTATCGATTGAGATGCTACGATGTACAATAGTATTACTAGTCTGGAACATGTAGAATACTTCGACATGGACATGGCGTAGAAAGCAGTCTTTATAGCGTTAAGCGCGAGAAATCATTCGAACAGAGCTGAAACCCCATTCACCTCATACGCAGAGAAGGTACGTTCTATGACTCCACTTTGAACGACTGTCAATTTTTGTTGCGGCAACCTAGGTATGTGAAACTTTCAGGAAAAAAAGGTTGTGGTGTTTCCAATGTGATACGAGAAAACATCACGAACCTAGATAATCCACAGCGGGCTTCATAAAGCGCCAAACAGGAGTATTTTTTTGCATCACCATATATATAAATACTTCGTTTTTTTTTAAATCATTTTATATCATCAGACATTTAAATGTCTCGTATGACTCCTTTTCCACACTTTGCAGTCTTGGTTGGTCCCGGAAATGCAACGCCTTCTAAGACGCGGACAGACCCGGAAAGAGTCGCTGTCAAAGTGTTCACCTCGTGGAACTGTTTAAATAGTAATGCTGTAAACAATAACAGTGATTAGTATAAATTGTATATTGGCTGGTTGAGCGTGAACACATTCTCCGAATTACCTGCTTACAAAATATAGGTTAAAGCAGAAACAAATGCTTTACATACTTTTTGCAAATTTTTGCGACTTTGAGCATCTTGTTTTTCTCATTTTTTCATACTCAATACCTTTTGTGCTCCTCTAAATGTGCAGAGTCGTACATAATTTTCAATTTAGATCATTTGAAGCTTCATGTCGGTTTTTCGTTCCCTGGATCTGCAGCATTTCATTGAAAATGGATGCCGGATCAGACGTTCTTCGGGATCACAACGTTCGAGCATCACGAGAAAGTGCCTATTTGTTCAGAAATTCATTTTGGCTTTCGGTCAAGTGGCAAAAATAACTTATTTTAGTTTTTGTCATCTTCGAAGCAAAAGCCATCTTCGGTTTGATGATGATGGATTCAAAGTGCACTTGGCGTCCTATGTATGAAATCCGCCTAGTACCGTATTTCAGTCTGGGGAGGGACATTACGTTTAAAACTCGATCCCCCCCTGTTCTGCAATATGTATTCAAGCTGCTGTGTTCTTTGGCAGTCTTGACCTGCTTACTTGTCATATTTCAGTCAGGTTATTCCATTCAAGAGTTATTTTCGGTTGAGCACATCTGAAATCGCTGCACCCATCTGACTCCCGCCCTGACCTTTTCCCCGTGATGCAAAATTAATTGCTGAGTTGCCAAAAGTGAACTGGTTGAGAGTCAGACTTCATTTTACAATAAATAATGTATTAAAGGTTGAAATGGGTATGGCCAAAATTGGTACTCCATTCATGATTTTCATGCGTATTGACCGAGTAGGTGTACTTGTATAAACGTGACTTACGTTGTCCATACTTAGGGAGTAACCTTAAGGGGAAACCTCACGACTTCTTATACCTCTACGACCTCGCGAAAACCACAGCTTCCAGCAATCTGGGACCAACACTTTCGACTGGATTGCTCCAATTCAATAGCCTGACTTTAAAGACGGTGGGGCTCAGCGAGAACAAAATCGCAATAATAGAGCCGGACGCCATCACAGGTAGGTACCATTGGCCACTCATTAACCATCAAAGGGACGATTGGAGAGACTTTCCGAATATCAGTTGCGGGGACGAACTCCTCAGTCTTCACTAAAGGAATGTACTTCGTCGCGCCTTACTCAGAGGATTAAGTGACCCAAAATACAGTACAGTTGCCTATCAGCTGCCTGCGTTTCTCAGATTGTTTCGAATCTTCCGTTAAGTGTCCTCTGAGCTTAGACTCCAACTAGGTATTCATGACAGTTACTCTGCCTCGGAATGGTGATGAGGGTAGTAATGTGACGAGGCTAACCTGTCCCTTACGTCCGCCTACGTCTTTCTTAACCTCTATAGGCAGGAGCTGAGTGAGACTTCACCCCAGTAAGGTACTTTTTAGCGGATTTTTAAGAGTTTTTAACTTCCTACCATCTCAGATTTTGATTACATGTATTATGCAAGGTTATTATGTCGGAAAAGTCGGAAATGTAACACTTCAGCCACATCAGAGATGCTAATTTTTGGGGGTTTATGCTAAGTTCAAATGTCAAATTTTTTGCCCATAAATGAAATTATGCGTTCTTGATTCAAATGACATTTCAATACAAATTTTGACATTTTCAGGCAATATCCAATGAATTGACACCTCAGCCAAGCTCTAGCACATATAGTTCTTGAGTTACAGGGATATAAAAAATCCGAGGTTAGAAGGTGACACTACATTTTGATCAACCTAGGCATCTGACCTACTGATTCCATAAGGCAGAAATTTTAACATTTCCGAGTTTTTGCGACATAATAACCTTGCATAGTAAATTTAATCAAAATCTGAGATGGTCGGATGTTACCCATTGCTTGATTTGTCATGGAATGGTCAAAAAAGCAATTTTGTTTCATGTTCCAATTGTGTGGAAGTTGGGAGCGCCGAAGACTTCCAACAAATAAGAATATTCCGTTCTCATTCAACTCTTTATATGAGTCGCTGAGTTATGACAGGGTTTTTTGCAAATTAGGATATCAGAAAAATTCGTGATATCTGAAGATGCACTGAGCCTGCAAATGTCAGGAGCGTTAGGGAACCCTAAGGTAACATTTGGAAGGATTTGCCTCAACCCAATTCGATCTCCTTCAGCAAATTTCGCCTCCACGCAATAACATAGGTTATTACACGTATTTTTTTATTTTCCATAAGGGAGATAAGATTAGTGAACCAGAAAAAATGCAGTTTAAAACTTTTAACTTTCTAAAAGTTATGTTGGACGTGCTGTAACTTTTGAATGGTATTTGCTCATTTGATATTTCTATCTTCTCATATTCCTCTTTGAATGAGGAAGGGCCTTTTGAAAGTTTCGAACACACTAGTTGCATTGCATTCCGCCTCTCTATTCCAGGTCTCACCCCGGACACGGAAGTTTTTCTAAATGGGAACAATATATCTAAATTGCCAGAAGAGGTATTTCGCCCTATGCTGGAGCTCCTTTCACAAGGGACGGGCGCACTGCATTTGCAAGGTGAGCAGCGTCTTCCATGCATGCATGAGGAGCCTCCCACACTTGCTTTCCCTAGTCAAGTGAAACATGAGTTACATGAGTGAATTATAACCTAAGTCTCGTTTCAATGGGTCGTTATGTGTTTTCCACTTTCCAGAAAATCCCATCGAGTGTGATTGTACTTTGGATTGGCTTGTTTCGGACTCGACGATCCTTAAGAGTGTTCGTGGAACCTGTGTTGATGGAACAGATTTTGGAAGCCTGACTTTGAATTGTCGCACCTGTCCTCATGAGTGCGTCAGCCGCGAAGAAGCGTCTTCCTGCGAGCCAGGAACAGTGATCACTACGAACGTGGACAACTGTCAGTCTAGTGAACTCTGCTGCCAGCGGACGGCTCCAGAAGCAAGTACCACGTCCTCTCCAGCGCCCGGTGAGGCGAGCCCATCGTGCCCAGTCGATGGCGGCTATTGGTGCATCGATGCGACGCTTGCTCCCCTTTGCGATCCGGACACCCTCTTACCCCTCGCCTGTTCCTCGGAGAATCGACTGTGTTGCAAGATTGGTGGCGAAAGCTCGACATCAATTTCAGGTATGCTTGACGCACTCATTCGCACACAGAATTACTTATGACATCGTTCAAAGAGTGAAAATCACCTGTTTACCTTTCCTGGTGGTATTTCTTGCCAGCTTCTGAGAATTCTTAAATTCTCAATGAAGTGAAAGCAGTTTCGTCCTAGTACTCTCCTTTTTTCAGGGATACTAACAGGTAGCGTTCATTGGCAACAACAAAAACGCGACATTCATTCGCAACATAATAAAGTATATTCGAAATTTACGCACCAAAAGATTACCTCAATCGAAAGCCACAATTTTCTGAACGCACTTTCCGTACTGCTTCAACGCATCCCAGGACATGGGCAACGGGCAATCACCACATGGTCATATACAGCGATCCCGCAATAGCAGAGTTGTCAGGTGTTTTACAAAGAACTCCCTCTCGCTTTCTTTGATACAGGATGGACAACTTTCGCTGAAATTCAAAAATGAAGTCCTGCTTAAAAGATGGTTTGTATGCAGGTTTTATAACCCGCAACTCGTCTCCTCCAGTTATCCTTATCAACTTCTGATTGTCCCAAACACATCGATTGCTGAGTAATGCATGGAAGTTACAAAATATTTCTGAAATGTCGACGATATTTTCCATGAAATATATATTGCTTATTATTATGGTTCGGTAGGTTATGTTTCTCTCTGGATATTTAACCCATTCGCGTACCTAACCGTCTCTGAGACGGCCTCAGTAGAAGTGCCCAGCCCGTACCTAACCGTCTGCCAGATGGGTTCGCGCAGAGTTCTGTTATTATTGATAGAGTGGATTGTTAGTCAATGGTGTTTGTTTGTCAATAGTAATCCATAGGGGATTCATAGTAATTAAGGAAATTTTCCCAAATTAAATGGTATTTCACAGAAACTCTTAGTAAGAAAAAATTGTATCGAATGGGTTAATGTCCGCTGTGACGAGGAGCAAGCCCGAATGCATAATTTTTTCGTGTCCTTGCAGCGGTGGTAGTTGAGTGCAAGACGGACTACCCAAGAATTGAAAACGCAGAGGAATCTTTCGAGGGTTGGACAGGGGAGAGTCCAGCACCCGACGGCGGGCAGGTGCTCTTCACGTGCAAGCAAGGTTTCACCGATGGATCCGCCACGCACATGGCCACCTGTTCCTCCAGCACGAAGGATGCCTGGAGCGCGACATTCAAGGAAGACGAGCGGACCACCCTTTGTCCACCTTCATGTGAGAATGTCTCATATCTAGTGTTTTTTGTGCATGAGGACACGAGTCTAGGAGAACTTTCGAGCCGGCATTGTATTCATGTATATGCCACTCGGAGCTCATGCGCTTCAAAAATTGAGCGCTAAATGTCCATGGATGGCTAGGCTGAAGCTATCTTGCAGATTCGATCTTGCATTGAAGCTATCTTGCATTCAATGACTTAAAGTGAAGGAATCAACCTAAAAATTTGCCATTTTCAGGGATTCTTCCCATGACCAAAGAAGGGATAGCAAACAAAGAAAAAGGGATGTACTGTATATGGGTTCTGCAGAGTAGCAGATTGTAAAAAGTTTCCCGCATTGAAACCCTTCCAATGACGTAAGAAAGTATGTTGGTTACGCAACCATAATGCAGCAGTTGCGGCAGAAATCGGTTTGGAGGGCAAAATAATATATTTGACGTGAATCGCGCAAATATAGATATCTGTTTCTCAAAGGAATTAATGTTTCCCTGTCGGAAACCCTACCAATGACCAGGAAAATCCCGGCAGACATAAGCCAGTCTGTTGGTTATGCCACCATGATGTAGCAGTTGCGGCACAACTAGGTTTAGAAGGCTGAGGAAAATACATTCGACGTGAATCGGGAAAGTGTTATTTTTAAAGGAATTGTCAATGTTTCCCCATCTGAAACCTTACTAGTCGCAAAAAAAAAGTCTCAGTAGGCATGAGCCAGTCTATTGGTTAAGCAACCATTCTGTTGAAGTTGCGGAAAATCTATAGTTTTAGACGGCTGGAAAAATGAATTTTTCCGCTCGAATCTTGAACATATTTTTGAAAATGATTGTTTAATCTTCCTCAGGTAGAAGTCTTCGCGAATCATATTTAAATCATGTGTCAAATGTGAGGGATTATTTTTGTTTCGCTCCCATGATGCATCGGTTCCGTATTTGCTTGGCTATGATGAGTTTTCCCTATTAAAAAAAATTAGACACATGGCATTCTAAGGAAGCTCTATTTCCATTTTTCTTGATGCAGAATCGTCATTTCCGTTGTATCGATGAGTATCATAATATTGTATTGATCATCTTGTAGGAAAATGTTATATTTATGATGCAAAGTGATATTCCTTTCTGCAGCTATTACAGCTCAACATTGGCTTGGATTCCTTCTTGGTTTTCACTAAGGCATACGCATAATTTATTTTGTTTATTTTCTTACCGGGGCATCCCATGATGACGTTTGAGTTTTCCACCGCCGCTTCAGAGGAGGACTTCCGTGCTCTTGGTGGGTGGGTGGATTGGCGGTGGACATTTCCTGAACATTTGAACGTTTTCCTTTTTGCGACTTCTTTGGTCCTCCCTCCGACTCATTTCTCTGTGCTCCCTTCGTGTTTTTTCTCTTCATTTCCACGAGGATCTTTCCAATCGTGGATTCTTCGTGCCTCCATCCTTCTCCCCTCAGGTCCTTCTCGAAATATTTGCCGATTAGGTCTTCTGTAAATAGATCGGTTCCTCCCAGCCTCTTGCGTGGACCTCCTCCACTCAATGCCTAAATTCATCAAAAGTATATTCATTAGCTGCTACTATCCCCGGGGCGTTCTTCATGTACTTTCATCTGCCGGTAAATGAAATTGATTCGGAACCTGAGATGGACAGATGATTTACTATCCCAACATTCAATTTGCCAGGATATAAAATGTATGTTGACCTTCATATTTTAAACATATTGGGTAGTGGAATTTTTCCGTCATAGTTTGATGGATGTTAATTGCTTTCAATGAATCGATGACCGAATCATAATTCTCATATACTTGTCTTGGAGTTTGCCAAATTCAAAAATCAAGCGTTAGTGCGAGGATTAGTCAAGAGTTGGACATTTTTACTATAAAGTAACATTCTGAATTTTGCACATTCTGTTAAATAAGATCGTATCTCTTCGCCGACTTTCTGATCATTTCTTCTCTTGAACAGCGGACGTATCCAGTGCGGGTGGATCTTCGCAATTCCCGGCGACCCTTCGTCCGGTATCCGGGGATGGAGTTACTTTTCTTCTGACTTTCTTCTCATTGTTGCATAAATAAACAGCATGCCTCACTCACTGAAGTAATGGTGAATTTCCAAATCTAATATGTAAATGAGTAATTATAATATTAAGCATTAAGAGCGATACGTTTTCTTTAAATGACTCCACGTAGGTGGGGTCATTTAAAGAAAACGTATATTCAGAGAAATAGCTTACAATTGGGAATGTTTGATACACTTTAAATATGAGCTTTTTTCTTCTTCAAAATGCAGGTAAGAAAAGGGATGTTCTAAAGAAATTAACAAAATATAATTGGTAAAATTTCAGTCAATTTTTTACTTCAAAATTTGAAATATTGATCAAAACGAGACACTTCATCGTATCAGGAGAGTTATTAAAAATGGTAATGTTCTGAAATTTGCTTAAAATTTTGTATTTTCCGATGCATTTGACGGTATCAGAAAACTTAGAATGTTAAAAAGGTTAACATTGGAAAGACTCCATATCAAAGCCTTGTCCTTTTTCACGCCTTCACTAAAATGGGAAAGGAGTTAAATCCTACCTCAGTTGCTCCATCATTCAAGTTTTTCGGCCGTTCCGGGCGTTGCTTCGATTTTATTGAGGAATCGACAATGAAGTGGCGATCCTCCGTGGTGCAGACGGCACTTGTGTCCCCATGGCACTGTCTCACCTGCGTCAGTCACGATAAATTATTTCACATCCTTCTTTGCACAGTTTGGATGCATCTTCACAAGGGGATGACTCTGCTTTCGGTCATAGCTCTGTTTCAGAAGAGGGAGGGGCCATATCCTTATTGGCCCCTCATAGTTGAAGAAATTCAAATTAACCATCTTGATTTTAGAAGAAGGAGAAATCCGCCTGTGGTAATACCAAAGTGCCAGTTCACGTATCGTGATATTATTCTCTGCTTCAAATTATCTTTTACTTGACGTTTTCCCTAGCTTCTCGCCGTTTTTTTTTAAATCTCTTTCACGTTTAGAATGTAGTATTGTATGTAGTCTCGGTAGTTCTTTTCTCAAAGGATGTGTCCGAAGGGTGGAAAAAAGAATGGATTCATGAGAAAACCATGAAAAAATGATCATACCATGAAATCGTGCGCACATTGACATCAATTTCCGAATTTGTGCTGGCATAAGAAGCAGAAAAATGTCAAATGAAATAATATAATGGGAGAAAACCAATTTTCTCAAACCGAGCTCCAGGGGTAGGTAAGGCGGGAAATTCCCTTTCATGAAGAACATCAGTCCGGAGATAGAACGAAAAGTAAAAAAAAAAGGGAACGTTCCACTGAATCAACCTTTGAAGGACTCGAATCATACAACGTGGGACAGGCGATAGCCGGTTGAAATCCAATTCAAAAATGCCTTTCCCTCTGCGAAATGAGACGGGAAACTGAGAGCCCCATATCTCGCATCCCATCCTAAAATGATTATGTTCAACAATGTATCTGATAGACACGAGTTCCTAATTTGAACAGTGAGTCTGAATTGACTATTATAGAATCGAGCCTGTTGAAATTAGGCAAATTGGGAAATTCGGAAATCGCAGCTTTCTTCAAACGCCAGTCACCGTAATCTTCTGTCGTTTCTTTTACGGTAATCCTCACCACTCAAACCTCGTCGAACGCAATAGCGCATGACACATTCTTGTTCAGTCTGTAAATCCTCCATTACGAAACAAAAACGAAACGATCACGACTGACGGCACTCAATTCAATTGACGCTTCCGGACGACTGGCGACAAGTCTCAACGTGTAACTGCCTGAGGGCATTCCTAGACATGCACTTCAGTTCAATCTAGAGGGATTTTGCTGAAACTTACGTGGGAGAGCGGTGACACTATCTGTCTACGAATTAAATGATCAGCCCTCGTTTGTAGTCAATGTTATGTGGCAATTGCAATTTTTTTTTTCCTTTATCCCATGAATGAGTTTTTTTGGCCTTTTTTTTTTAGACAGACATGGGTGATTATTCAACAAAGACGAAAAACCCTAGTCTATACTTTCCCGTCACCAGAAGCTTCGTAAGAGGCTTAAATACGAAGGAAGATACTTGAAATGCATGACATCTGTCGTTAGGAATAATTTCGGGCGCAAAATGCAGTTACCAAAAAAAATTCCAATACTTATAGATATTGACAACGATAACTGACAATTTTTAGGATAACCTTTTAAAAATATAACCATGTACATCAGTCTTCAACTTGATCTGTCTAAAAGAAAGTTGAAAGTCAAGTAATATAACCAACCTCTGCTGATGGGGAATCCTACATCCAAGTTCAAATCACCATCTTCTAAGAAGACTCTCACCAGGAATGGTGAACCCATTTCTTGAGCGGTAACGAGAAAGGGGTCTTCGGACTGCTAACGGCTTTGAGGCCAGCTGAAGAATGAGGAACGGGTCATCCGTATGACCTGATCTGACCCCTTAAGAGGCTAAAGGTGTGGAACACCTCGTGGCCAGAGTGGCCACGAGGTGTGGCCACTGTGTTTTGGGACGGCGAGGGACAACTGCTGCTTGAGTTCATGCCAGACGAGTGTACAATCACTGGCGATTCTTATGCTACCACCATGAAAAATTTACATGATGCCATCGAGGAAAAATGCAGAGGAAAGTTGTTAAGGGGGGTCCTTCTTCTCCATGACAACGTGCCTGTCCACAAATCATGGAAAGTTCAGGCAGCAGTGAGGGAGTGTGGCTTTCAGGAGCATGGAATAAGTGTGTTGAGTTAAAAGGTGACTACAGTGAAAAATAAAGTGTTATTTTTCCCCTCGGTTGTTTCTTTCTTATTCAGGTAGATAACTTATTGAGTGACCCTCGTCTATCCCTTTTTCCGTGTTTGCTATAACCTCTTTTGTCACGGGAACAAACTGCGAAAAGGTCACATTTTTGGTCTATTTCATCTATTTATTAATTAATCTATTCATTCAATCTATTAATTTTTTAATGACTTGATTTAGGATGCAAGATATCTATAGCTTAAGCTCTTGTATAGTGCTAGGGGGGGTTGTGAATGTAATCTACGAGCCTTGTACATAATCTCTGAGCACCTTCTCACTTTGCAGCGTTATCGCCAGAAACACCAAAGCTAATCGGAGGACTGGCATGGAGGATCAAGCTGCTGGGGCTGAATTCGCCCAGTGAGTACCCTTTCCAAAAACCATTTCTCGCATGAAGAACTTTCGTAACTAGAAACTGGATCATTTCCCGTCTAATATTACCCACGTCAAGTCCTGACTTTTTCAATACATCAATACTCCGAGTAAAACTGTTGTTATATTAAAAAATATTATTATGGTATGCAAGGTTTTCCATGAATCGCAGACCGATGGAAAATCAGACTGGTCTTTCATTGCAGATGTTTAACTCAATCAACATATGTTCTTCGCTGGATTGAAATGTTCGCCCAATGTCTTTTTTCTGAAGATGTTTGGACTATTTAGCTAAATTTAGAAGATGGTGTGGCAGTAGTATGGTTCCCCTACCAACTGTGGCTGTTCAACAGATATATATAAAGCTTTTTCGCTCTTTCTGATTGGAATTCAAATGAATGGTTGTTTTAGCATGAACACTACAGAATCGACAAATGGAAACGACTTGACGTGATAGGGAGTTCATTCAACTATGATAGGAGGACGTCCATGTGTAACTACAATAGAATCGAAATCTCTTCAACATTCGTTATTTTCGTTCATAGGTGGAGTGGCATCGACTACTTATTCAGATTGCCGGTTGACAGAAAAGGGAAGGGAATACATAGGAACAAAGGACAAGACAGAAACCGGGAAGGAGTGCCTGAGATGGGACAGTATGCCTCATGGAATACCAAAGGATTTTTCTTCCATAGAGGACTACGAAGGACACTTCCCAAACCGGGATTCCTGGTCGCAGGAAAACTTCTGCCGGAACCCGTCCGGTAAGGAGAGGCCCTGGTGCTTCGTCTCCGACCCTGAGATTATGTGGGAATACTGCGACATCCCCATGTGCGACGACAAGGGTAGGTCTCCTGTCCCATTCTCCTTTATTGTTGTGTGATGAGATGTGCAGTAGGGGTGTGGATTGTCCTGTTTTACTTCGAGTCAGTAGGATGTTACTCTGTGTGGAGGGACTGTGTTCATGTTATGACGTTTGTAGGCTTTCCATGAACACTTGCTCGTCATGATCATGCAACGTGGGTCAGGTTTAGTGGAGGTCTGATAGAGGAAATTGTTTAGTAGAGAAATCTCTTTGAAATCCACATATTAGTACATATTTGAATGTGCAGTAAATGCAAGAAGACCCTCTTCCATTCATCTCCCTTCAATGCGCGAACATTTCCATGAATGGCTTTTAAGATGACATCCGTATATACTTGTTTCACAGCACGTGAAGTGCTACCTCCCGAACTAACAGAGCGAATATCAATCATATAGCCAGGCGCAAATAAACTTATGTTAGGGGAGCGGCGCATTTTGGAATTTTTGTATTTCAATAACAGAAATGTACGACACGCAGGGAATTGAAGCTTATGAGAGAAAAAATACAGAGGGATTGAGAGGACGAAGCATCTAAAACTATCCACGTCTGTCTGTCACCAGATCCTCCGGAGTGCAAGGTGACCCAGCAGGGCGGCGAGTACATCGGGCGGAAGAACGTCACCCTCTCCGGCCTCCCGTGCCGGCCCTGGGCCAGCTCTGCCCTGCACCCTGAAGCATTCGCGGATGCAGATGCCATCGACGGGCAGCACAACTTCTGCCGAAATCCAGACGGGAAAGTCGCTCCTTGGTGTTACTATGCCGTGACGATTCATGGTGACGGTGATGGTGACGATTCTGGCTGGGAATTTTGCGACGTCCATTTCTGCGACATCCAGCCGTCGGATCAATACCTGCAACCGCATGAGGGTGTGTAAGAGGTATTACAGCAATAGAATTAATTATTTGTACATTAGTCCCTGTTAGATGATTATCCCGACCCACTTCTGAACATAAAACTCAGTTGTGTATGAAAAACTCTGCCATGCCAGAAGTATCCGAAAATCCTTCACATCATGATCTGAAGCATATAAAGGCCGGTCCACCATTCGGTGGGTTGAAGATATCATAATTAGCTGCCTCATGATCGGGAAATCAATATGCGATATCGCGTTATTGACAGGTCAATTGAAGCCCTGAACTATGAAGAGGTATACAGAGGAATGTGTCACATCAAAATCGCGTCAGAGGGATGCCTAGATGGCTTTCAGACCGCGTAAAATGAACCTAAGTGAGTTTTCAATGCTAATCCCCAGGACACTTCATGCGTTGTCTTTGCATAGTTCGTCACTATGGCCTCTTTCGACCAAATTTAACGACCCGCAGTCTGAGAGGACCTTTCAGCATCGTCTACGAATGCTGGAACTTTTGAACGACAGGTTCGCGGAAACCCTAAATCACCCCACACAAACGCGATGCCTTGCTCCGCGTGGTCTAGGGAGCGGCGAAACTGCGTGGCGGACCCGTCGTCGCGAATACTATAGAACGACGAGAGCCGTTTCATCCTCTTCCAAATCGATGGCCGATTTCGATGCCGATGCATAACCGTTCCCTTCCCTACCCAGAAGTGAATTGTAGATAACGGTTACATGATAAGTGTTTTGCGACATGACTTCAGGCAGATCAGCGGATGGATAATCTCTTTCAAACAGCATGCACGATCGTCTGGTTAATTCAAAAGCTTCCAAGAAACTTTACTCTTTGTAAAATAGGAGAAACAGAGCAACACGTGTATCCAGAATGCCGGCTGTCAGAGAGGGGGAAGGAATATGTGGGAAAGGCGAGCAAGACGGAAACTGGAACGCCTTGCCTCCGATGGGACTCCCAGCCGTACGGCATGCCCTGGGATTTCTTCAACCAGACTATTCCCTACGAGAAGCATTTCCTCGGAGCAAGTGCAACGCCCCACGAGAATTACTGCCGGAACCCGGGGCTCCACAGGCGACGGCCTTGGTGCTTCGTCTCGGATCCTCACGTCAAGTGGGAGTACTGCGACATCCCCTTGTGCGACGACAAAAGTTGGTCGTTCATTTTGAAGTCGCAAAGGACGCATGGCTTTTAAAACCTTTCTCAGGCCTTCTTCATAACGAAAAGGGAACAGAGATTCTCAGTTTGCTTGCCTATAACCATATTCCTTAAAGATTAATGTTTGACGAGCCGCACGATGAAAGTGCATTTGGTTGGATTCTGTGAATATCAAATACTTTGGAAACTTTCAGCTAATGATCTGAACAACCAGTTCCCATCTAGTTCACTGTAATCATAATCAGGTCCACTTCTCTCCGATTCTCCATCATGATGCCGATATCGTTTCATTTACGTGTCCTGCAGCGCCACCGGAATGCAAGCAGACAGAACTGGGCGGAGAGTACGCTGGAAGACTAAACGTGACGCTGTCGGGAACCCCGTGTCAACGCTGGCTGACCCTCGACCCCAAAAATCGCGGTGTGTGGGACTTCCTGTCGCAGTTCCCGGACGGACTCGACGGGTCTCACAACTTCTGTCGCAACGCGGACCGCGGCTTCGGCCCCTGGTGCTACACCGCCTCAGCGCTCCAATGGGAGTACTGCGACGTCCCCTTCTGCCCCAGCGCCGAGGGCGAGCGTTGCAGAGTCCGCGTCTCCGGAAAATGCGTCGGTGAGTGAGGGGCTTCCGAGCCGTTCAAGATCTTCGATGCATTTTTGATTCAAAATGGATCATCAAAATCCTTAAGACTTTGAGGAGAGTTCGTTGCAGCCTAGAATACCTCAAAGTGAGGAGCATTCAAGAACAATTGGGCTCTGCTCGACTCGTAATGATAAGCGATCCTTGCCTTTATTACTTTCGGAGGAGCAATTTTGCATCCAAGTAGCGATTCCAAGTTCTTTCAATGCTCTAGAACATTGTGAGACGAGATGTTTGGTTTGTTGGAACTTTCCGTTAATCTAATTTTTAAAAAAAAACTAAATAGACACTTTCAGAGCATTATTCATGGATGAATTCGAATGGGGGAAAATTTAGTTTAAATGTCATCTACCGGTACGAGTGGCATCCTTCTTACCTATCCTCCGGCACCGATATTGTGATTCTCTTCCCTGTCGCAGATCCACAGGAATGCAAAAGGACAAAAAACGGGATTGAATACATCGGAACTCTGAACACGACAGCCTCCGGTTATCCGTGTCAGGCGTGGATGAGCCGACGGCCGAACTGGCACGAGATGGGCTATCGCACGATAGCTCAATTCCCGGACGAGCTTTACCCCTCCCACAACTTCTGCCGGAACCCGGACTCGACGGACGACGGTCCCTGGTGTTACATCGGGAGCGGACGGAATCCCAGGTGGGAATACTGCGAGGTTCCGATGTGCTGAAAGTCGCCGGAAGCCGCTTCGACGACCGAGTTCCGCTGCTCTATTTGTGTTCAGCTTCGCCCACTGCCACGTTTGTGGGGTTTCACCCCAAATTAAATTTTTTTCGCTTGTGCTTTGCTCGAGTTGAGTTATTCTCGCCGCTGCCTTTGGAATGTTCTCGTACTTCTCCATTAGGTGTGGGGGAAAAGTGTATCTTACAGGTGTACTGTCTCTTGGAGAGACGATGGTGTACTTCAAGTGGACGGGTTCCACAAGTGAGATTCCTGAATGAATTCCCAAATTAAATGCTGGGCAATAGTCATTGCAAACTATATGTAATTCATTCATAGAAAAAAATATGCAAAACCTGAGTGAATGTAGGAAGTCTCCTTGTTCATGATATTTCAACTGAAACTTACATGTTATCACATACAGGGTGTTCCGAATGTTTCTGACCCACCCGCACAAAATATGACTAAATACCATGTCAGCCACTGTGAAAACATCCCGCATATCTGCAAGTGCTACATGAAGCTCTGGTCAGATCGAGAAAAGACTGCGCTGATGCAGGACGGAGGCCCATAGCACTCGGCTTGCTTCGCGTTCCACATCATTAACGAGACGTACAGGTCTAGAAGAAATGACCAGGAATCTGTCCGGACCTCAACACCTGGAACACCTGCGGCGCAGGCTCAAGCAGAGTGCTCTGCGCCAGCCCCATCCCATAAATTCAGTCAGTCGTTACCAGGGTTCTCAGTGGAGTGAGAAACCAGCGAGCGTCATCCATCGGTCGGTTCAGAACTTCGGGACGGCGATCAGAGGTTCCTGGAAGCCCGCGGATGTCAAATCAAATATTGATGAATGGCACCTTGGGTGTTCCTGGCCATGTGGAAGTCAAATCAAATATTGATGAATGGCACCTTGGGTGTTCCTGGCCATGTGGAAGTCAAATCAAATATTGATGAATGGCACCTTGGGTGTTCCTGGCCATGTGGAATTGCAATTCAATATTTCCCCGTTGATCTCATCTTCATCTTCATTTTAGACGGTCAGGAATATTCGGAACACCCTGTGTGAGACTCAATTGAATCATAGGAAGATCTCAAGCTCGCCGTTTCACAATTTCCACTACCCATTATGCCGTTAGTGCTCTGCCACATCGAGAAGTATTTGACCAAAATTAACCGAAAATGAGAAAATTGGAAGGTTGAGGTTCATTTTTCTTCTTGGAGCGACCAAAGAAGTCATCGAAATGGCTTGCGTTTTCCATGCATCTGAAAAGGGTAAAATTGCCTAAAATTTCACATTTTCGAACTCGTCCACGATTCCGAAATCTCATCCAAACTTCACGAATATGCGAAGGAAATTCTTCAATGAATAAAAGAGCTCCTTTTGGAACAATTGCACGCCTCCTTACGACGAACGTGGTTCCTCAGACGGAAAGTTAACCTTCCATAGTGTTTCCCTCAAAATCGTGGGGCCGATATCTCGCTAAACGCAAATCATGCGGCGGCCCGCCTTGGATCACCGTCGGCGAGCAACGTGGCCCCGAGCAACGTCGCCGATTGGATACCATCGTCGGCCCGATGATGTTTGGCTATCTTGGATATCACGCGACTGTAGCAGCTGAAGTCGACGATGACAAATGACGGAACAAGTCGGAGAGAAACAGGTGGCAATCAGTTGGCAATATTCGCCCCTTTTCACATTGGTCGCAACTACAGAGCGAAACGAAGTTCGCTCTAAAAGATGGGCGCTATTATAAATATTAAAGATTGGCCCGTAATAATTGATGATCCATGACTTCATTTCATTGAGAAACTCGATTTTTCGTTCAAGATGCCATTCTAAGCTCTTTTAATTTCGATGAGCATATTATGCTTTAAACCGTCGTCGATCATGCAACAGGCCCAGCAGCCACGAGCGACTGGGGGCTCCCTGCAATGGTGCCCGAGGCGTTTCCCGTGGGACCAGGACGCAGCACGCAGGGACTCGGTGCAGGATGCCGGAGGACCCGGAGGATCCGGCCTTTAAACCGACGAGTCCTCGTCGGTTTAAAGGCCGGATCCGGCGTGACCCACTCGTCGCCTTTAAAAGCGAACTACCCCATTCTCCCCCTTTCACACTTCCCAGACTCTTCATCAATTCGATATTAATTCTATGGTATATCTCACCAGGCCAACTAAGCCCTCGTCTGAGAAATCGAGCAACCCTTTTCCTGGATCGGTTGTTTTGACACCCAGACCAATATTCTAGGAAATCCGAGGGTGATGGCGCCCTTATATGTCATCCGCAAAGAGTAAGCAATGTCAGAAACGCCTCGCAGTACCGTCCAATAGCGCCTTCCAATATAGCAAAATCCAACCAATGAAGAATCCCGTTACATTAAAAGGCGAGAACTAAAAACACGAAGGGGATCGGGAAGACAGGGAGGAAAAGAGGGGAGGTCGAGGGAGAGTCGGTGTTGGGACCGCACGGAGCAGCGTGTTGAGTGGGCCTGCCCTTCAGGGATTCAGGGTTTAGGGACTTGTGGTTTGGAGATTCTTCGGCGGGGAGGGGGGGGGGGGAGTTTCTCCTGGATCTGTGACTGTGTTCCTTGTGTCGTGTTCGTTTGTGTTCCTCATCCTTTCATTCTCTTTTTATTTATTCGTTGCGGACGTGGGATCGTGTGAGGGGGAGGAAGGAAATTCCATTTACTAGTATTTCTTATGAGTTGCTTATCATGGGAAAGACTGGAAAGGTCGAGGAAAAGACTGGGAAGGTCAAGGAAAAGGTCTGGTAGGAAACTTCCCAGACTTTTCAGTCATTCACGGGACCCTAGCAATTAGAGAGTTTGTCGGCAAAATCCTTCAGGCAAAAGTGCTTGCACCAACTTGGAATGACCGCACGGCCCTTACCATCGCAAAACTGAAAATCGCAGGACCTGCCCTTCATTGTTGCAAACCTCACGATTAAACCAGGGACGTTCAATGCGAAGTTTTTCGATCAAAAGCACTCGCTTTGTTTCTTCCTTACTGACACATGAAATATGTATAAAAAAAACGTAAATAAATATTTAAATACCAGTTTTGTAATTTCAAAATGAGATGCAAAACAACGTTCTACTTTGAGAAATCATGGACATGTTGATTCAGTTCCAGCCGCATTTCGCCCATGCTTGGTAATATTGAGCGCAGCATGTCTCGGAGACTTTCGAATCTAGAGGGCCGAAATTTCGGATTCAGCAATTTTTCATTATCATCTTTGGCCGTGAAATTTTTTTTTCTAAAGAAAAATCCCTGTCGTTGAAACGAGTGAATTTCCTGAATACGGGAGCACTAGACAGTGAATGACTTGACACCGAATAAAATATTGCACATTTTCGCATTGGTTCAAAGTTACTGCGGCCTTAATGTTTTTGGGGGGAGAGGTGCTTTGATGATACATATTTTCGCAATCAAGGGGAATTCCTGTAATTCCTCAACACCCACAAGCAACTTTTCCACGTTGCCAGGTGCATCCGCTTTTCGGTTCGTCCGTCGGTGCCGACCCAGCTGGAAGTGAACCAGCAGCTCAAATCGACGACGAAAGACGGCTGAAGGCTGCGCATGTGCATTGGGCAGGGACAATGACTTGAAATGGGCACGGAACGCAGACTGGACGAATAAGAAGCAAATAGGTGGCAAACGGCGAACGGTATTCGCCCCTTTCTCGTTGGAGGGAAAGTGAGATTGAGGGAATGGGGTTCATCATTCCATTAAATACCATTATTCAGGGTTGAAGAAATAAAGAATGAAATGAGAATGGAAATAAGTATTCCTAGTCATGCATTATGAATATTCTCTTTATTCTCTTTATTCTCTTTATTCTCTTTATTCTCTTTATTCTCTTTATTCTCTTTATTCTCTTTATTCTCTTTATTCTCTTTATTCTCTTTATTCTCTTATAAGAGAAATAAGAGAAATAAGAGAAACGAATTGGTGGATTCGATCAGGTGGAAACGCAGGGTCAATGGAGCCATTCACATCCCTCTGCCTCGCCTTGGCCTTCTTGCTGCCTGCGGTGACCGGGCAGGGCGGATGCCTCGTAGCACGCGAGATCGGTCCGTGCACCTGCGAGGGCAGGGATCCGAAAATGTGGTCTCATGAGCCCGACTTGGATTGTTCGAAAGCCAGGACGAGTGAGGAGATCTCGTCGGCTTTCGGGAACTCTTGGCCGAGCACTCTCTTCTGGTGAGTGAAATCGCCTGCTCGGATTTTTGTAGCAATTGTTGATGTTCAGAGCTTCATGCCCATTTAACCGGTGCCGGAAAAACTGACTGGAAGGAAAGAGCTTCGTTGAAATTCAATAGGGAACTATTTGCAAAACACGGTGCCAAAGATTCGGAGTTTACTGAATTACACCTGTTGCTGCTGTCTTTTCATGAATCACATGTACTTGGCTTTGAATAAGTGATATGTTTGATGGTAAACAAATATGAAAGGACAATCCGAGGAATCGAAAGTCTATCCACTTTCTAAGCAGGAGCGGTGCTTCCGTCCAGAAGTTAAGAGATTCCGAGATTCTAATAGCCACAAAAAAAATTGTAAATACCATTTGTCTTCTTTTTCCGTGCAGGGAATTCAGGCTGCGAGACAACGAAGACGTGCGAGAGCTCCCCGAGGGAGCCTTCGGGAGCGCCTCATTCCAATCCATACGAATCAGGAACACCAAATTAGAAGCCGTCCATCCGGCGGCCATCCTCCCGTCGAAGGACCGACTCCTGGTGCTGGACATCCAAAACAGCCGCCTGAAGGAGTTTCCATTCGAGATCCTCCCTTACCTCCACCGTCTCCTGACGCTCAACCTCAGGGGAAACTCCCTGACCGCCCTCCCGGCCCTTCAGAGCATCAGCCTCCGAGTGATCTCCCTCCCGTCCAACAGCATCGCGAGCGTCGAGGAAGACGGATGGAACACTCCCAACTTGAGGGTGCTTGACGTTGGTGAGTCGCTCTTGGGCCTGTCCATGGTGGCAGACGTGACATCCGGAGTAATAAGTGCGAAAAAAAAAAACAAATGTAATACATTAGGCTAAAAATGATGATTCAACGTGCAAAGGCTGCAACAGTTATGCTCAGGCAGTGAGTGAAAATTGCAATGGCAAAATTATTGCATGCAGAACTCTGCATGCCACTCTGAGAATGGTAATAATAATTCATTATCAAAATGACAAATTATTTCATGTTTAAATATGATGTTCTCATTCATTCATGCCTTCACGAAAAAGAGAGCATGTACTTTTGTGGAGAAGAAACGAAAAATTTTTTTCTAAAATTAAAGGAAATTTCCTGATACGAATCCTTGGGTCCATGTGGCGCGGACCCCCAAACGTCTCTTCGTGGTTTCCTTTTCCGTCTCAGGCTCCATCCCCTCTCGGCTTGATACGACTCCGTTTCCTCGCTCTCGCGGTCGCGGGACAGGGAACGCAAAGTTCGATTTGTGTGGGCAATGTATCGCAAAGAAGAGAAATTTGTGCGTAAGTTTTGAGATTTCTGGGGAACTAGGACTTTCTTATGCTCATTTCCAGGCCGTTTGTGATCTTCAAACGCGAGCAGGGAACCACGTCGTTTTCAATTTGAGACAGATTTCTTCCTTTTTTTTTTCAAGAACGATTACCTGATTGACCAGGTTACTAATCATCTTTTCAATGAAATTCCTCAGCTATGAATCCCTCTTTGGAAGTCTCCTCCGGATTGCTGAAGAAGATGGAGAGGCTGGAGCGCTTTTGGTGCCCAAGGTGCAAGACAGGACCCCCCAGATCGACCGAATTGCAGAAATTCAACCCCGAGATCTTCAACGCCGTGGGTCTCAGCGCGGACAAAATCAGGAGAATACTGCAGGACGCCATCTCAGGTAGGGACCACCGGCTTCCCCCCCACCCCCACCACCCCACCCCCCCGCCCCCCAGCCCACAGATAGACCAGTTGTAAAACCGAGTCTCAGTTGAGAGGACTGACTCCAAAGGGACGTACTTGGCCACGCCGTTCTCATGCGATAACTGCCCCGATATGTAGCTCAGGTGCCACCCAGTCAAGCTGGTGTTTGTGTTTCTTGGATCGTCTAGAATCCTTCTGGGATCGTCTAGAATCCTTCTGGGATCTCTGACTAGGTCGTCAGGACTTCGCTCGGGAGTGATCATCTTCCATCAGAGAACTAGTCCGATTCGAATGGGGGTGTAGGTCAATCGAGGAGTTCTCGACAATATACAGGGTGTTCCAAAATTATGGACACGATTTTGTAAGGCAACTTTTGAACGGCTTGCGATAAAGTGGTGTGGTTTGAAGTGCACATTTTTTTCGAGTGATCGTACCCGGAAGAAATGTAAATTTCAAACAGATGGACTGCGTGGCATTCCGCCTGCCCACCTACAAATGAAGTTTACTTAATTGTGACTGGCGTAACCACATTAACTCGTTTGAGGAAGCTTTCAGGACTTCTAGTGGATTCTTATTTTCCAATGAGAGACGATGCGACGGGTTGGGGAGTTGTTTGAAGCAAGAAAACATTTTGTCAATCAACTTCCACCAATAATGCATTTTTAATTTTGTGGTATTTCGTATTTTTTTTAATAGGTGGAGTGGCGTCGACTGCTTATCCAGAATGCCGGTTGACAGAGAAAGGAAGAGAATACGTCGGGACCGAAAGCAAGACAGAGACAGGGAAAAAGTGCCTGAGATGGGACAGCAAGCCATACGGAAAACCAAAGGATTTTTCTCCCATAGAGGACTACGAAGGACACTTCCCAAACCGGGATTCCTGGTCGCACGAGAACTTCTGCCGGAACCCGTCCGGGAAGGAGCGGCCCTGGTGCTTCGTCTCCGACCGGAAGATCAAGTGGGAATACTGCGACATCCCCATGTGCGACGACAGGGGTAGGTTCCACTGTTCCATTGGCATTCACTGTCATGGGATGAGACGTGCGGTAGGGGATGCGGGGTGGGGAGTGGCCAACCTCGATTCGGTGGAATTTTTCTCAATGGCTGTGCTTGTGTGGTGAAGTTGACAGGCGAACGCTTTTGTCGTAAAAATGCATTATGTCCCACGCCAGTGGTTTAGTCGGTTTAGTCCTTCTGGAATTATATATTCAAGTCGTAAATATTTATATTTGAATGTAGATACAAATTGACCCTTTTCAATTACCCCCCTCCCCCCCCCCCCAAATTTCCATATGCAAATATTGCAAGGTTGACATTCTTTTATGCGGGTTTAACAGCAAGGAATGCATTATTTCCTGATGTAACAAAGCGAGATAATGAACAGCAAATAATTAGTAGCAATAAATGCTCTCAAAGTAAATTCTCTGATGAAAAAAAAAGGTGGGCATTTTCGGCGAGGGTTCCGGGAAGTGAGTGGCACAACTGATCTCAATGAAAAATGGATGGGAACTCTCTGCAGAATATGAATTTAAAAATTGACCACAAGGAAATGACAAGGGCAAAAATTTTTTTAAATGCTCGTTATAACGGGTTGCCGTACAAGCTCTGCAATTGAATGAGTATCATATGAAAGTGGAATACTCTACTGGTCTATCGCTGCGATACTGGGCGCCTCCCTGAATATGAAATTCACCCTTCAGATTGCGTCAGACAGAATCAATAAAAAAAATTGTTTATTTATTTATTTATTATTGAGTTGTTCCTGTTGCTCCAAATCAGTGAAAGAAAGGGTAGGGAGGGAGAAAAACGACAGTGCATCTAACATAAGTTCAATTCTCACCAGACCCTCCGAAGTGCAAGGTGACCCAGCAGGGCGGCGAATACACCGGGAGGAAGAACGTGACCCTCTCCGGCCTCCCGTGCCAGCCTTGGGCCGGCTCGGCGCCCCACGCGCAGCTGGAGCTTCTCCTCCACCGCCAGGCCTTCGCGGATGCGGAAAAAATCAACCGCGAGCACAATTTCTGCCGCAATCCGGACGGGAAAGTCGCTCCGTGGTGCTTCAATGCAAATGGTGACGATCCTTCCTGGGAATTTTGTGACATTCCTTTCTGCGACATCCAGCCGTCGGATCGACACCAGCAACCGTCCGAAGGTGAGTGTGAAGTATCGCCGCGATGAAACGAATATTTATCATCCTCCGTAAAGTGATTCTCACTACGCTGTACTAGTGCAAAACACTCTGCCTTGACAGAAGTATCCGTGCACAGTTCACGTTATGGTATGCGGCTTAAAACTGTCCGTCATGGACTGAGTTGCAGTGTGGTATCAGGAAAAAGGGAAAATAATCCCAAGAAAGTCTAGGACGGTAATTCATCTGTTGTTACATACCGAAACATTTGATTTTTTTAATTTGATTTGAAACTGCATTTGATTATTTTTTCAGCAGCGCGTGCACATAGTAACCATTACCGTGCTTGTGAATCGCAGAAAACGTTTGCGTGATGAATTTTTTTCTGTAACTGTGATATTCAAGAAGATAAGCGGATGAATGGCATCTTTCAATTACCACGCATGGTCCTTCAATTATTTCACAAGCTTGCAAGAAACGGAATTCCTTCCACAATAGCAGCAGAGCACCACGTGTATCCGGAATGCCGACTGTCAGAAAGGGGAAAGGAATATGTGGGAACGGCGAGCAAGACGGAAACTGGAAGGCCTTGCCTCCGATGGGACTCCAAGCCGTACGGCATGCCCTGGGATTTCTTCCACAAGGGATATCCTTACGAGAAGCATTTCCTCGGAGCAAGTGCAACGCCCCACGGGAATCACTGCCGGAACCCGGGGCTCCACAGGCGACGGCCTTGGTGCTTCGTCTCGGATCCTCACGTCAAGTGGGAATACTGCGACATCCCCTTGTGCGACGACAAAAGTTGGTCATTCTTGCGTCAAGATTTTCATGCAATATTTTGGTCATTTTCAGTTCGTCGCCTCAGTAACCAATTCCCGTTAATGCCATGCATTTGAAATCATAATCATGTCCATTGTTTTGGGTCCTAATTCGCTGTCCTAATTCGGATATAATTTTCTTTCCCTCTCTTGCAGAGCCACTGGAATGTAAAGATACCGAATCTGGCGGAGAATACGTGGGGACGCTGAACGTGACACTATCGGGAACGCCCTGTCAACGTTGGCTGACCCCCAAGCCCAACAAGCACGACATGTGGAATTTCTTGTCGCAGTTCTCAGACGAGCTTGACGGGCCTCACAATTTCTGTCGCAACGTGGACGAGGGCTACGGCCCTTGGTGCTACACCGTCGCCGGGGTACGATGGGAGTATTGCGACGTCCCATTTTGCTCCGTCCCCGAGGGCAAGCAATGTATTCGCGTTGCTGGGAAATGCGTGGGTGAGTGACCGGCCCTTGAAGACCTCCTGAGGTAGTTTGGTTCCTAGGATTCGTCCTGCATTTGACATTTTTGGTGCAATCATTTTCAACTTCACGCTTATCTAGGCTCCAGGTTCATCCGTATCTTTACTTTTTTCTGCGCTGAGGTATGCACGAATGTTGACGGACCGACGGAGCTCTCTAGCGTCTATGCAGCGCGGTTATGTAGATGAAAATGCCCTTTGTAGCAAATGAGCAATAATAACATTTTCGGCCTACTACTTAGAAATTTAAGGAAGGAAAGATGTCTTCAATTTTCCTACCAGATTGTTTTTGCCGTAAAAGAAAGAAAAATCATGCATTGAAGGGTTAAAGAAAAAACTTTAGATACAGTGCTCTTGGATGAATACTCGCCTTACAGAGGCTTTATTTTCATTCATTTGGCATCCTCCCTACCTATCCTCGCATGTTGGAAGATATATATTTTTATCTCTTTCTTCATCCAGACCCACTGGAATGCAAAAAAACAAAAATGGGGAAGGAGTACACCGGAACTTTGAATACGACAGTCTCAGGTTATCCTTGTCAGCCGTGGATGAGCCTATACCCCAACTGGCATGAAATGGGCTATCGTTCAAAAGGCCACTTTCCGGACGAGTTATACCCTGCCCATAACTTCTGCCGTAACCCGGACTCGACCGACGAAGGGCCTTGGTGCTACAACGGCAGCGGAAAGGAACCCAAGAGGGAACTCTGCGATGTTCCCATGTGTTGAGGCTCCAGTCGCTTGAAGCCACTTCTTGGATGACCGAGTTCTGCTCCACCCGGCTCAGCTTGTGTTGAACGTCACTTATTCGCCGCAACTATGGGATGTCCGCATCTACATCCCAGCCCGAATGTCCGGCAGTCCTCGACATTTTTCGCCTTTGCGCTTTGCTTTCCTTGTCCACTTGTTGATGGGTTCTCGCCGCTGCCTTGGGAATTTTCTCACGCTTATTAAATCTGTCTGGGAAATGTGTACTTTATAGGTGGACTATCATTTCGAGATGTCACACACTATTTCACGTTGACGGATAACAAAAATAGTTATTCCGCGCCAAAAATGCTGCGCAATCGTCATTGCAAACAATCTATAATTCATATTTGGAAGGACACTGTAATATTTGAATTCACGAAGGAAGTACTTTTGCGCATGATATTTGAACTGAGATCCATATTATTAAATATTTTTTTGCTTCTGCTGCCAAACTATTCACATTGAAGGTATAATGATACAATATTTTATCTAATATATATCGTGAATCGTGACTGACAGACTGACTGACTGATGCTAAGTCTAACCATGTTCAAGAGAAGCTAGAAATCTGAAACTTGGTACACATGTACCTTTTGGGATGCAGAGTTCATAAAAAAAATCCGAATTTATAAGTACATGCCCTGGGGGCACCCATTTTTGGGGGAGATATTTTCAATGATATATATTTGCTTCAGTCAAACGGAGAGACATGGAAAGCTGAAACTTGACATGGACGTGCCTTCTGAGAAACAAATTTCAGACACACATTTTTAATTGGTTTTTGCCAGTTTGAAAATAAATTATTGAATGAATCACTACCATGGCAATGGAGCGCCTAAGGCGCTACAATAGCGAGTTTGTTTTGCCCGAAGGGCGAACAAACTGGCTAGTATATAATAAAATCAAAGGGCATGGCATCACACATGCCTCGAAGTGTGAATCACCTGGGAAACACCTGTGAAGCTCACAATTTCCAATGTTCTTCCACACGTACCACAAATATCATCTACAGCTGAAAGTGGTTTTCTGTTATTTGTACGACACTTCGATTCACTTGAATACAGATGGCTATATTCTTGCAGTCTTTCAATCTCTTGGTCCATGACCGGGCTTTGTATCTCTTTATTTAAATTGTATTTGTATTTGGTTTCGTGCATTGGTGGTATATTATTTGTAGTATTCCAAGCTCCCAAGCTTAAAAGTCTATGAATACCCCACGACAGGTTCATCTGATGTTTGAGTATTCTTAGCCCATCACCTTGAATCAATAGGTGCTTCCACGTCTTCTCTCAATATTAAACACTTCCTTTTTAATATGTCCGCCTTCGTGAACTACTTTTTGAGTTTTTTAGGGAAGAAAAAAAATTGAGTTTTCTCCATGGCCTTTGAGCAGGCACACGAAGAAAGGAAAACGTTTCTTCCCTTAGGAGAGCGAAAGAACAGATGAAAGCATTTTCAAAAAGCAGACGCTCACGAGATGGGAAAGTAAATTGATCGATACTAGTGCTCCTTTCGTTGGCGACCTATGGATCTGTCCTGATGAGGGAAACTCCAGATTTCATTCCGACCCCACCCCCCTCCCCCTGGGCAGCGGAGAATGAATACGGCATGGAAAATAAGGACGAAATTGACCATATCCAGGACACGTGCACACAGAATCAAACATTTGCCTTCCGTGATTTATTCCTGTCCAAGTTGCATCATTTTGATTTACTGAACATATTGTGTGCATATGCACACGCCCAAGTAACACCGGAACGTTTAAGGAATGTTCAATGAACGTTTCATTCAATGTGTTGCTAACGTTCCATGAACTTCCTCGGGAACGTCCCAAGACTGTTCGAATGTCCAGAATTTCGAGCGATCAGAAAAAAGTTCAAACCATGCATTCCCCCAAAGGTTCATCCAGAATGTAAATTAAATATTCCCAACTGCATCAAAGGTCAATCTCTCTCGTGAGAACCTCGCGAACCTTAAATAAAAGACACTAAATTATTCCAATTGGAAATACTGCCTTTCCTCATTGGGGAATGATAGTTGCCCGATCAGAGCGTGCAAGTGAAAATCCTCTCCCTAGCGCAGACCTTTCTCCGACGTTTTCATCAAAGAAGCGGTTCCTTCTCTAGAGGAGTTTGCGCCACCAATAATTTTTTTTCCTCGTGAAATCAGCTTGAAAATTTAACCATCTTCCCTTAATCTTCCGGGCCAAGGTTTTCTGGAGACTCTTTCGACTGGAGTGTTACTTAAGTCCGATTAGTTGGGAAATTCTAATGTCTTCCTCTGCGGTGTCTATGTGGGAAAACGATTGGACACCTCAAAGAAAGTTTTGGAGATAATTTCATCTTTGTGAGGTTTTAAGTAACTATAGCGAGTACTTCGGCGTCATCTAGCGTCGCTTGAGCGAATCTTTATAGGTTTCCAGCCACTGCCAGTAGGATGGCACAGTCATGCTCAAGCAAAGCGCCTCGCTAATGTTCAACGAACGTCCTTCAAGAACGTCTTGTATTTGTGATCAAACAGCACCTCAATCGGGCTGCCTCCTCACAGCCGCCGCACTTCGATTGCACTGACCTTGTTCCTGATTGGTCCTTTTATCAATATTTTTAAAGTGAATTCAAGCCTTTGCTTTACCCCATGGCCAAATTAAGAATGCGAAAAATCGGTCACCTACGGGTCAAATTCATCGTCCAGGTGGAAATGGCCTCAATCCATTGGTGATATTTAATTTCTAGAAAAGTGCGTGAACTCTATGAGCAACTGTGTGTGTGTGTGGGAGGGGGGAAATTTCCGAGAACTCACAATAAGAAAAAAAATTCAGGGAGAACGACGCATACGCTGCCTTCCATGGCGCAATTTCGACCATTGACGGCGATTCGAAATGCCCTCACGTGCGACATCATCCCGAACGGCCGTGAGTGATTGCCGCATGCCGTGCCCTTATCCTTTCCGGGGAGGTCGGTTTGTGATGGGCGAAGACATGAAAGTTCCCTTAGAGAGACGAAGCGACAAGATAAGGAAAGAGTGGATAATAAAACATGTGCGACAGGCCAGGAGGAAATCCTTCCTCGTCTTCCACAGTTGATCGAAACGTGCGGAGCAGGGTGAAGACAGCATGGTGAACGTAGCATGGTGTTGACCCGTCCGTCTCTCAATGCGTCTTGATTCTGGACCACCTGCCTGTTATCGTAGTGTCTGGAATATTTATGGAATTATGTAATATTATTTAATTTAATTAAATAATATTATTCAATTTTTTTAAATAATATTATTTAATTAAATTAATAATATTATTGATTTGATTAATAGTATTACTTAATTTAATTAAATAATATTATTTTATTTTATTTAATAATATTATTTTATTTTATTTAATAATATTATTTTATTTAATTTAATATTATTCTATTTTATTTAATAATATTATTTTATTTTATTTAATAATATTATTTTATTTAATTTAATAATATTATTTTATTTAATTAAGTAATACTATTAATCAAATCAATAATATTATTAATTAAATAATATAATTCATATAATCCATTTCACTCCCGCAAGTAAGTGGTTTGATATGAAACGACATCGCGAGTGCCGCTCCAGACTAATGGCCAGATTTACTTCACTGAAAATTTTCCGATTGGAATTTTGTGAAGTTTTTATGGAAGTCTTATTTTATTAATCGAACTCTGCCTTCTATTAGACAAACACATAAACATAACGAAGCTGCCATTTGATTCAATAGCAATGTCCCGTCGAACGATTTCATTTTGAATTCACGAATTCACGAACAACATCAATGTAATTCCATGGAATTAACATTCACGTGAAGAATTCACATTTTGAAGTTCAGAATATTACAACACCAAATTCGATATTCGTTGGAGAGCGCTCTCAATGCGCATGCTGTTTCACGAAGAAAATTCAATTAAGTTTGTCAAGCGCTGCAGCCGTCGGTGGACTGACTTCCTCGCTGAAGCGTTATCGACGAGTGGCCACGCACTTGCTTAATCTGAGCCTTCGGCTTAAGGCCGTTGAAAATGGATTTCCGGGTCAAGCGTGAACAAGTTACCTCGCCTAAAACTTTGCACAGGAAAATTTGCATACCATCCCTTTCGAATGTATTACACGAGCTTCTTTGTGCCAGTTGCGTCTTGTCATTATCAGAAAGTCAATTGATCGATGGAAACAGCGCTTAAGAGCGGTTATGAACCGGAAAGGAGGAACCGTCGAGCACCATTTCCCCACGCACACCCTGATTTCACTTCTCTTGCATAGAAAGTTCTTGCCGGTTGTGACCGGTAAATATGTGGGCCATATCCTACCGGTTATGAACCACACACTTCATTTAAACTTTTTTAAACAATATGAATAAGTCGAAATTGACGACCTAAAGTGGAAACTTCAGGTTGTCACCACAACAAACCGTCATATCTCATGAAGCAATTGAGTGCCAACATTGAATCTGGTATCGTTGGAAAGGGTATATCAGGTATTTTTCATTGATACATGATCACTCGGGGTTCGTGGAGGAGAAAGAGCAGACGTTTAGGCAGGGGAGTCGGTCAAACTGCTGAATGCAACTGCGAACTGAAATTTTTTTCTTTAAATGGATTCCTCTACTTTTATAAAAATCCGAGATGGTCGAGCTCGCGCTCTGGTCGATTTGGCGTGGAATGACCCAATATATAAGGAAGACGAGCTATAATGTATGTTTCTTATCATCCCTTTCTCATCGGCCACTAAAGGAATGGCTAGGAAAATACTTTTAAAATCAGAAACAATATAATTACTTCGTTTGGTACGATCATCTGCGAATTTCCTTCCCCTAGAATTAAAATAAATAATCATTGTAACACTTTCTCAAGATCAGCAAGAATAAGTCATCTGCCTCCCTCGGGAGCTCCAACCAGAGGAAAAAGCCAGTAGTTTCGATCGAGTGGAAAAAAACTCGCTGTAATGGAACCGTTCGCATACCTTTGCCTCGCCTTCGCCTTCTTGCTGCCTCTGGTAGCCGGACAGGGCAAATGCCCCGAGGCGGATGAGATCAGGCCCTGCACGTGCGGCAGCCACGATCCGGATATAGGGTTCCACCAACCGGATTTGGATTGTTCGAAGGCCAGGACGAGTGGGGCGATCTCCTCGGTTTTAAGGAAGAATTCTTGGCCGACCACTCTCTTCTGGTGAGTGCCTCAGAATCCACCTATTCAATTTTATTTTCAGCAGTCCGTGCTTCTTCAACAGCACCAAGGAAAACTGACTAGAATGAAAAAACCCTACTTAAAAACCATTTGGGAATCCTTCCCGAAGCACCATGAGAGAGATACACAATTAACTCAATTAGGCCTCCAAGTTACAAGTTTTCAACCACCATGATGAATGTGTAGTTCTTCTTCTTCCATGCAGGGAATTCAGGCTACAAGACAACGAAAATGTGGAAAAGCTTCCAAGGGGAGTCTCAGGGATCCTCTCATTCCAATCCATCAGAATCAAGAACACCAGCGTAGAAACCGTCCATCCGTCCTTCATCCTCCAGTCGAACGACCGACTCTTGGTGCTGGAAATCCAGAACAGTCGCCTGAAGGCGTTTCCATCCCACATCCTCCACCAACTGCCCAACCTCCTGACGCTCAACCTCCGGAACAACTCCCTGACCGACCTCCCGGCTCTTCAGAGCGCAAGCCTCAGAGTGCTCCATCTCCAGTTCAATAACATCACGAGAGTCGAGGCGGACGGATGGGACACTCCCAACTTGAGGGTGTTTGACATCTGTGAGTGACACATCTTATACTTCGGTTCTTCATACTTGTCTATCGTGCACCATGCCCTCCCACCTCATATGATTCCCATTCCACGCTCCTTGACAAAGGAATGCAGCACTTTCTAATTATTTATTAGCTGCTTGAGCGTGAACGCCTGGAAGCAATACCGCCCACTCTCCGAGAAGTCGGCCTGCAATGGATAAACAGAGATGAAAACTAATGTTTTACTTGATTGTTGCGACAATTGGCATATTTTATTATTTTATTCATGCCCAGCCTCTAGGGAGCTAAGAATAGAGACTTAATACATGATGTCGAGTATGGCCACACTTGGGTTCTGAATGTTAAAACATTTACATGATGAAAAAATTTCCAACGAAGTCCCTAAACTCCGTCCAAGTTTGGCGCATATTCAATCAAATATTTAGAAATGCATAATATATAGGTATTGGTATGGATTTGGTAAGGGCAGAACCTTTTTGTATTTCTCTAAATGAGCAATACGATATATCATTTAAAATTTATGACAGATTCCGTTTAAAGATTCCTCCTTGTTTTCCGTTCCCTGGCCCTGCATTAAAACAACAGATGCAGACCAGACCATCATCATAATCAGAACATTCGAGCACCACGCGAGAGCGCCTGTTAAAAATGTCACTCTTAGCTAGCAGCCAAACGGCGAGAATAAATAGTTTTAGATTTTCGTCCTGAAAGCAAAAAGACTCCTTTGAACCACCTTCTGAAAGTGCTCTTTGCGTTCCGATGTATGACATCCGACCGTGTTTCAGGGATGTTGGACGTAAGCATCTAGGATAGTCAAAAAAAAAAAATACAAAACAAAACAAAAATACAAAAATATTTAGCTTCAAGAGGGTTAGACCTACCCTAAGATTAAGGAACGCTCGACCTCGACACGTGATATGGAAATGGGTGAAATCGCCTCTTGATTTCACTATCTTGAATCTTGACTTGAAAAACAAGATCCCTCGAAAACGAAACACTGCGACATGCATTCGAGTTCCCGAGTTTATTGGCTTCTCCTCCGTGCTTTTAACTTGTTCTCTTGTTATTCTGCATCAAGAATGACGCTCGGCTAGACACGTTTCATGTCGTTCCGCGAATCTGATTTTTGCCCTGCCTTTTCCTCGTGCTGGAAAATCCAATTTCGAGTCACGAAAAAAGATGCTACTTTAGAAAAAAAAAAGAGAAATGCAATCTTCATCTCAAATAATAAGAGCGAAAGTAAACATAGTTTTGGCCAAAAGTGGTGCTCCATTCATGATTTCCACCCAAGATTCATTCATCCTCACGAACATATTTGCACCGATTGGAACAGCCGCGAATCCCTCATTGGAAGTCCCGCCTGGAGTGCTGAAGACGATGGAGACGCTGGAGCGCTTTTGGTGTCCAAGGTGCAATCTGGGACCCACACTCTCGACAGGAGCGCTTCAATTCAACAGCAAGGCCTTAAAGACGGTGGGACTGAGCGAAAACGAAATCGCAAGAATGGAGCCAGACGCCCTCACAGGTAGGAACTCGCTTTAACCATCAAAGCGATTCAGTTCTGATCAGTCGAGCTGGTGTCTTGGCTCCTCGAATCGCCTGGAATCCTCCAGGAAGGATCCTCGGAGCTTAGACCAGGACTTCAAGCTCCGCTGCGGAGCGACGATCTGCCGCTATTTGCTCCGATCCCGTTGGGAATGCCGGCCGATGGAGAAAGACTTGGAAAGATTCCATTCCGCCCTGAATTAGTCAAGAAATCATGCCGCATGTTTCCTGTTAATATTATGTGGAAATTAAAAAATAAGAATTAAATTTAAAAATATAAAAAAATTGACAGAAATTCCCATAGTCAAGTAAGATCTGTTATTGCACTTTTTAAGATTGAGGAAAGAGCTGCGAAGCGGTAAAAATGTATCTTAAAGCATTCAAATTTCCATGAACTATGTTCAACGTGCTTTAATTTCTTATTATTTGTTCATTTGATACTTCCATCTTCTCAAATCCCCCTTTTTCGACGCATGGCAACCGAAAAGGTTCCCACTGGCTAATTACACGGCATCCCGCCTCTTCGTTCCAGGTCTCACCCCGAACACAGACGTTTTTCTGAATGGGAACAATATATCTAAATTGCCAGAAGAGGTATTTCGCCCTATGGTGGAGCTCCTTTTACAGGGGACGGGCGTACTGCATTTGCAAGGTGAGCAGCATCTTCCACACGTGCATCCTCCCACACTTGGTTGCCCTAGTCAAGTGAAAAATGAGTTACATGAGTGAATTATGACCTAAGTCTCGTTTCAATGGGTCGTTGTGTGTTTTCCACTTTCCAGAAAATCCCATCGAGTGTGATTGTGCTTTGGATTGGCTTATTTCGGACTCGAAGATCCTTAAGAGTGTTCGTGGAACCTGTGTTGATGGAACAGATTTTGGAAGCCTGGCTTTGAATTGTCGCACCTGTCCTTTTGAGTGCGTCAGCCGCGAAGAAGCGTCTTCCTGCGAGCCAGGAACAGCGATCACCGCGAACGTGGGCAACTGCCAGTCCAGCGAACTCTGCTGCCAGCGGATGGCGCCAGAAGCGAATACCACGTCCTCCCCAGCGCCCGGTGCGGCGGGCCCATCGTGCCCGGTCGATGGCGGCTATTGGTGCATCGATGCGACGCTTGCTCCCCTTTGCGATCCGGACACCGTCTCATCTTTTGCCTGTCCCAAGGAGAATCAACACTGCTGCAAATTTCCTGCTCATGGCGGAACGACGACGCCGAAGCCAGGCGCGTCACGCGCTCACCTCTGAGCATTACCATTGCGTTTTAAATAATGCTGAATTACCTAAAGATAGTTCAGGCTTTTTGCTTTTCATCGTATTGTTATTTGTGTTGCTCTAGGAAACTGCAAAAAGGACAGTCATCACATGGCCCATCTCCTGCCATTCTGCAAAGTGCGCTTTTTGGCATGACCTTTCCTTACAAGGTTAAAGGACTAAACTGGCGAGACTAGATGCAAATTCTTGCTCGATGGACGAGATTATATTCCTTCAATAGAAGTCTGCAAATAAGTTTGCCGGGTGCGAAGGTTCTGTAAACTGCAAAATGGTCGGAAAAATCTGCGAAATGCTCTCTTCCTAACATCCAAATGTCGTGCAAATCGGATGCTGAAAGATGCATGAAAATAATCAGAATATTCATGAAATGTCGATCATATTTCCTATGACAGGAAAAAAAAGTCATTGTGGCCCTGCTGGTCCGCTTTCGGAATGGCCGAGAGGTGGCGCTAGGATCGCGTAGGTCTGGTACCTTGGGACTTGAATGGGCGTTAAGTCGGTGCCTGAAATGTTTCTATTAGGACGACAAGGCCGTAAAAATAGAGGATTTTGCATGAGATCAGGCCTTAAGGCCGCGACCTAGGATCCAAGCCGAATAATGTTCGGGGAGGCCGAGATCATCTCGAACATCTTGCGTAACCTGAATGTTCCGAGCTAAATAGTCCATCCCTGAGCTTAATAGTGCATTCCCGAGTGACCCGTGCCGTCGTGTGGCCGGACGTACGCCCGAGTCCAGTTCCCCGCTTCATCACACGGGATTATAAATCGGTTTGAATCTCTCGCGATAGCCAGTGAAAAGTTTCGTCGACGCCGACAGGACGGTCGACGATTAAAAAGGAACCTCCTTCGACCGGCAGCCGCCTACCTCCAGGGCAGGTCTTCCCGGCCCCGCCTGCATTTCTCCCGACCGCGCCAGCTCGTTCTCTCTCTGTGTGTCTTCCCGCGATCATTTCAATAAATCGATGGGACTTGCCCGAGGGTCCTGCTAGAGGCCAAGAGCCCAAAGCCGTGACAATTTTTTTGTGTCCTTGCAGTGGTGAAAGCCGAGTGCACAGCCGATTACCCAAGAATCGAAAACGCGAAGGAGTCTTTTGAGGGTTGGACGGGCGAGGATCCAGCACCAGAAGGTGCGAAGGTGCTCTTCACGTGCGAGCAGGGTTTCGCCGATGGATCCGCCACGCACACGGCCACCTGTTCTCCCAGCTCGCCGGATGCCTGGAGCGCGACATTCAAGGAAGACGAGCGGACCACCCTTTGTCCACCCTCACGTGAGAATGTCTCAGGCGTCCACGATCTGCGAAGCGCTCCTGCGCATGATGACGCGAGTTTATCGGTTGTGAGTCGGCATTACATACCCCTTCTGGAGCCCAAATTTCTGCCGCTGGTTCATGGCTCATGGGAGCTGGTGAAGGCAACTCACACGTTCTGGCCATAACCACGGAGTACGTTTTCAACGAACAGCGTCATTGCCAGAAGCACAAAAGACATTCATGGGAATGACGTTGGCCCAGTAACAATATCAACTACTTGTTGTATGATCTGAATTCATCCAGCAACTGCACTACTCAATAATAATTTTTTTCCTCACGTATGAAACTTGAAACACGATCCTGTTCCGAAGGGAATGACCCACATCAGGGCTTGATTCGTAAATTCTCCAATTGAATGAGTTGTCAAATCGCAATTAAGTGTAATGGAATGGGATATCTTCCATGGTTTTCGTTGCAGATGTTAGAGACAGTCAACTTAGGTTTTTTTGGGTAGGCAGAAATATTTTCCGTCATTTTTCCTTGAAGTACATGACCTGTTTCGCTCAATTATCAGAAGGGATGGCTTTCTCAGCATCTGTGGCTCGCCAAAAAAAAGATTAAGTACTTTTCGGAATTTTCGAATTAAATTTATATGACGATGGGGTGACGTGACGCGATGGGGAGTTGATTGAACAAAAAATACGCCAAAATTTCAATGTCCAGTTGTAATTCAGTCTCGGTATTTTCCACAGTCGTATTTCCATTCATAGGTGGAGCGGCGTCGACAGATTATCCGGAATGCCGGTCGACAGAGAAGGGAAGGGAATACGTCGGCACAAAGAACAAGACAGAAACCGGGAAGGAGTGCCTGAGATGGGACAGCAAGCCATACGGAACACCAAAGGATTTTTCTCCCATAGAGGACTACGAAGGACACTTCCCGAACCGGGATAGGACCAGCGTGCTCTTGAAGACGGCCTTGGGCAGGCCCTTCCTCGCCGGGACCACGAAGCAGAGGCTGGCCTTCTAGTTCACCCTTATGACGCTGTAGGGGTACACGCTGCTGTCCCCATCCAAGGCCTGTCCTTCACTGTCATACGATGAGATGTGCGGTAGGAGTAGGGATTGCCCTGCGTCCTTCGACTCCGTGTGATATGTATCTCCTTGTGGGAAGGCGGTGCTCATCAAGTCCAAAGGCTTGTAAGAATTTCTCACCATAATCGTTCATTCCCTCCAACGCCATCGGTTTCGCGGAGATATCCTTCTGGAATCTTGGAATAATACACCTTTGAATGCGAATAAAGGTGGAATTAGACCTACTTCCATTGCATTCCCTTCAGTATGCGAAGACTGCAGGGAAGGATATTCACAGTCGAGGCCTTTTGTATCGGTTTCACGGCTTGGAAATGCATTAAAATCCGAACTAACACAGCGAGATAATGAACAGAAAATCGGCTGGGCACAAAGAACGTTTCAAAAGAGATTACTGGCATAAGTGAGAAAGTTTCCTGTGGTGTTCGCGGCTGAGATGGAAACAAATGATTCCGTCAATCGCAGTTAGGAGCACTCCGTAAACGATGAGCATTGACATCTGGCCCTGAGAGAGGACGTAAAGGACGCAGAGGACGTAAAGGACGCAGAGGACGTAAAGGACGCAGAGGACGTAAAGGACGCAGAGGACGTAAAGGACGCAGAGGACGTAATTGCACATGAAGAATGAATAATGTTCGTGTTCCCAGATGCCGTATGAGCTTAGCATCTGAAGTGGAATATTCAACAGGGATTACCCCGCCATACTATGAGCTACGAAAAACTCTTGAATCTGGAACCAGCCAGTCAGATTGAGCTGGAAATTTTTTTTTTGGAAACTGCATCACTCATCACAGGGTGGTGATGACCTGATGCAGTTCGATGCAGGGGTGGAGGTCGATGACAGGGCATCTGAACGAATCCGCGTCTGCCTTCCACCAGACCCTCCGGAGTGCAAGGTGACCCAGCAGGGCGGCGAGTACATCGGGAGGAGGAGCGTCACCCTCTCCGGCCACCCGTGCCAGCCCTGGGCCAGCTCGACGCCCCACGCGCAGCTGGAGCTCGCCCTGCACCGTTGGGCCTTCGCGGATGCGGATGCCGTCGACGAGCAGCACAACTTCTGCCGGAATCCGGACGGGAAAGTCGCTCCGTGGTGTTACAATGCACGAGGTGGCTTTCCTGCCTGGGAATTTTGCGACATACCTTTCTGCAACGTCCAGCCGTCGGATCGATCCCAGCAACCAGTCAAGGGTGAGTAGGATGTATTACAGCGATAAAAGGGACTTTTTCGATGCCCTGTTGTGGGATTCTCACTACCGAACACTGAAAAAATACTGTGAATGTGTGTGAAATACTCTCCCACGCCAGAAGTACTTGGACATCCTTCCCATTACGGTTTGTAATCTATAATGGCCTCTGCTATGAACGGCGTTGCAGTAAATGATCGGGATAAGTGCATCGGATTCAGACGAAGTATGTGATGGTGATGATGGTGATGGTTGTTGTGCCGAATGGGCAGTGATTTGAAAATGCGCCATGCTGAAAGAGTCTATGAGAAACTCACATAAAATTTAATCATATGCTTTCAGTGGACACAGAAATGCTTTTGGAATCAACGGAATGGATAAAGTTATTTAAATTTTCTCCGCTCCCAGAAATCGCGTTTGGGCGACTAAGGAATAAATGGTAAGAGCTAAATGGTAAATAAATGGTGATCGCCATTCAGGAATATTGACGCGATGCTGGTCTGAAATGCTCATCATATAACCTCATGAAGTTTATGAGAGTGACCTTGCATGCGAAACCTTAGGCTCAGAAACTCATGATGTTTGTGGCGTGAAGACTGCTCCAAACCTCAGGAGGATTTCATGAGATTATTCCAGCAGGGCGTGCTAGTGATACTCATTACCAAGAGCTACCATGAGTTGCCATGATAATCATTACCATGAGTTGCCATGATACTCATTACCATGATACTCATTTCTATGAGTTACCATGATACTCATAACCGTTACCCTTGGCTGCCGAGAAGTGAACCGTAGAAAACTTGTATGATGAGAGTTATGTAAAAATGGCATTCACTAAGATAAGCGGATGAATAACTTATTTTTCAAGCAGCATGTATTCGGTTGCTTCGGCACCTTGGGTAAAAATGGGCATTTTTTCTATAATAGGTGAAACAGAGAAACATGCGTATCCGGAATGTCGACTGTCCGAGAAGGGAAAGGAATACGTGGGAACCAGGAACGAGACTTCAACCGGGAAGCCCTGCCTCAGATGGGACTCCCAGCCGCACGGCATGCCCTGGGACTTCCTATGGGAGGCATCCTACGAGAAGCATTTCCTCGGGCCGGGTCCGACGCCCCACGAGAATCACTGCCGGAACCCGGGGGTCCACAGGCGACGGCCTTGGTGCTTCGTCTCGGATCCTCACGTCCAGTGGGAGTATTGCGACATCCCCTTTTGCGACGATGAAAGTTAGTCATTCGTTCATTATTCCCGGGAGTTGCAGGTTTTTTTATCACATACCCTGAAGATAAATTTTGGACTAAACGCAGGCTGTTAGTGCTTTTGGCGGATTGTGCGAAAATCGATGTTTGGAAAGCTTTCTGTTAGTGGTCTCAGCGACCGGTTCCCATCTATTCCATGACGCTGAAATCATAATCATGTTCACTGTATCAGGTCCCGATTTTTCGTCCTAAATCCGATATCATCTGCTTTTTTTCTACTGTAGAGCCACCGGAGTGCAAGCTGACGGGAATGGGAGGAGAATACGTGGGGAAGCTGAACGTCACTCTATCGGGCTCCCCGTGCCAACGCTGGCTGACCCCCATCCCGAAAGTCCACGAGAAATGGAATCGCGCGTCGCGTTTCTCGGACGAGCTGGACGGGAACCACAACTTCTGCCGCAACGTGGACGAAGACCTCGGCCCTTGGTGCTACACCACGGCGCAGCAACGATGGGAGTATTGCGACGTCCCCTTTTGTCCCATCCCCAAGGGCGAGCGGTGCCTCGTTCGTGCGTCCGGGAAATGTGTCGGTGAGTGTCGATTCGTGTCGTTCAAGATCGTCAATGCATTCCTGAAGCAGAACGGGATGGAATTCACCGGTGGAATGAATTATCCCAGTTGTTAACGGAGATACGCGCGACAATGTCAAGAAAATGAGAAATTCCATTGCTAAGAATTTGCTGCTGATGAGAAAACCTCCAAAAAATGATGCACTCAAGAAGAGGAAATGGCCTTTCCTTTGAAGTTCTAGTGTCATTTTTGGCTGGAGTGGCTTGGTGACTTACACCAAAGGGAACATAATGCACTTCACAGGTTTGCTCATACTGAGAGGACTAAGACATGCACACCACAATGGCGTTGCATTTTGAAACAGTAAGTGCACCATTTGTGCATTTCAATGGCGCACATTGCACGTGCACATTCTCTCAAACCGTTCGACACTTGCGTGCGCTTTCATCGCAGGTGTGTCACGTGCGCTTTGCATACGAAAATTATAGGAAAATAAATTTGGAATTTCTCTGAATAAAACAGTTTCTCACTGAAAGCGCCTGTTTATAGCTGCAAAGAACATGCCAGCACAATGGTTTTCAAATACGAGTTTCTTTTCTGGGAAAACATGTGATGGACTTCGACTTGGAGACAATGAAGAGAAACGGTTATGTCCTATTCGCCCTCGCTGGAGGAAAATCGTCCCGCTGGTGCAGGAAAGCTTGCGAAATGTCAGAATGGTAGCACACGGTTGGCAATCGAACTTTTCTAACCCTTTCTAATGCAATTTTTGTGGATAAATCTAAACAGCGGAAAATGTCGATTTTAATGCCATATCTTGGTACGAGTGGCATTCTTCGTGCACATCCTATCTTGCTGATACCAATTTCTTTAGGTTCATTTCTCTGTTGCAGATCCACAGGAATGCAAAAAGACCAAAAACGGGGTGGAGTACATTGGAACTCTGAACATGACAACTTCCGGTCTTCCATGTCAGCCGTGGATGAGCCAACAGTCGAACCCCCTTCACCAAATGGGGAACCCTATAGTGGGTCGTTTCCCGGACGAGATACACCCGACCCATAACTACTGCCGGAACCCGGACTCGAGAGACGGCGGTCCCTGGTGCTTCAACGGCAACGGACAGAGTCCCGTGGAGGAATTCTGCGATGTTCCCATGTGTTGAGGCTCCAGTCGCTGGAAGCCACTTCTTGGTCGCCCGAGCTCCGTTCCACCCACCTCCACTTGCGTTGAACTTCACCCATTTCCAGAGATGCGGGATGTCTGTATCTCCATTCCAGTCCGGATTTGATATTCCTCTTCCCTGCGCTTTGCACTGAAAGCTTTCGTCGCTGTCTCTGGAATATTCTTACACTTTTTCGATCTCTCTGGGATATGTGTTCTTTATAAACGGGATGTCACTTGGAGAGACGACAGTGTATTTCAATAGAGAGTTCGACTAGTAGCACAAACGTAATTCCGCACCTAAAATGCGTGCAATCGTCATTGCAAATTGCTATAATTAATACTCGGAAGAACCCTGCAATATCTGAATCGATATAGCAATCCTAGGAACAAACTCAGCTAAAAAGGGATTCATTTGCGTATGATCTTTGAACCGACCCTCATATGCGATCAAATTTGCTTTACTTCTAATTCGAAGTTATTCGTATTCTGGGCACAACCGTGCAATATATTTTCAGGAAATCATATGACATGATATCCCACGCGCCCCCAGGTGTGTAACACCTGGGAAACACCTGTGAAGATTGCAGGTTCCACTTTTTCTTCACACACAAAACGGGAATCACCAATGGCTGGAGGTGGCTTTTTTGTGATGCATGTATGCATCAGAATAGAAAATAAGGATATTGTAGTCTCCCATTGAAGTGACCACAGAGGCGCCATTGCAAGCCATCGATACGGCGACGTTGAAGACTCGATGCGAAAAGTGTGAGGTTCAGACCGGCGCTGTTACTTCTGTGTTTCCATCAAGTCCCTGTCGAGAGTACTCAAGTCCGATGGAGGTCTGCCGTGTGTCCACTTTCAATATGGCGGGGAATGGGGAAAATTACTGCGAAATCCCGGAGGATTTTACAATTTTTTTTAAAAGCACATACCTGTGCGTGAATGGGCATGCCTGGAAAATATTTAACCTTTGGAAAATTCAACCAAGGTCCAGCAATACTTTTCGCTAGCAGCGTACCTAGTTGTCAGAGGGCGAACTACAGGGTGATTTTTAAAACAGTCCCTTGTTTCCTATTCACATAACTTTTATTCTAATGGCATGGCAGTATCCAATTTTGCACACAAAATATGGAAGAAATGGAGATTCATGTTGGCACATGGAGAACATGACACGTCCGAAGCGACCACCATCATCACAAAAATCGTCCACGTTGCCGTATCCGACACAGCAAAGTTGTCGTGGAAGCGCGTCGGAGTGACTGCGGAATTCGAAAGTGGGATTCCCGGAAAGACCCTTTCGAACCGCCCGGCAAGTCCGGCGATGGTCTTGCTGGACTGGCCTGAAAGTGCCGTCCACGCTTGCAGGTGATTCGTTCAGCTTGAAGGACCATTTCACCTGAACCATCTCAGAATGAACCATTTCACCCGAACCATTTCACCTGAACCATTTCACCATAAACCATTTCACCTGAACCATTTCACCTGAACCATTTCACCTGAACCATTTCAGAGGGAAAAATTTCGGTGAACAACGTCATATTGCTTCAACACGGAGTGTTTTTGCGTAATTCATCATTGTTTTTGCGCGAATGCCTTCCTCATGTTCAGTGCAAATGTGGTCCCTGAAATGTTATCGCAATGAAAGTTATGTGGATTGGAAACTAGGAACTATTTTTAAAAATCACCATTCAGCAATGAATCAACGAGGCGTGTGGCTACATTTTTTAACTTCTTGTGATGTATTCATGAGGGGAAAAAAAGTTTGTGCTTTGACTTTCGGTTCACTCATTTTATAATAATACATTCTAGGGCATTAAAATGTTATTAAATTAGTTACAAATTGCATAACGTTTGTATAAAATTTGTATGATATTTGTGTGAAGTTTGCATAATATTTGTATAAAATTTGTATCGAACTTGTTCACGAGTGAATTGTTCATTTGGCAGCAGTGGTAACAATCTGGGTCAGGAGAGGGAGGCTCTCGCTAATCGCCCCGACGAAAAATCCGGATTTAACATAATCTCCCGATAAGGTCGTGAGAATGCATGGAGGCCCCCGAGGCCAGCGGATAAGGAGAAACGGATGAAGGGTGGAAACGGACGAAGGGTGGAAAAGGAGTTTCGTTGATAATCACGGTTTCCTCTTCCTCCGCTGCGCGGAGGCATGAGCGGTTCCGCCGAATTTCAGTTAATTTCGCGATCGCCCAACTCCATTTTGGTGCTTGGTTTTTTTTGGTGCTCTGCTTTTATGGTGCTTCGCTTTTTTGGTGCTTCATTTTTTTTGGTGCTTCGTTTTTTTTGGTGCTTCGTTTTTGATTTCCTGATTTTTGGGGGTTTTCCCGTACTTTCGTCGCGTTTATGTTGCACTCGATTTGTTTTTAGCATCACAGCTAATTCTTATGTCGTCTCCCTATTTCTGCACTTAGAGTTGCTGATGAGCACGGAGAAAATGGAGCTTCTCGCGATTTCATTCTAGAAAGGTGAAATAATGCAGGTAAAAACTGGATATCGGTTACAAAGTTCCCAAAGTCCAGAAATTATGTGATTTTCGCATTTATAAATCTGTGAATTTGCAAATCTGACAATTTTTAGTTTCGAGTTTCAGATTTTCCGAAAACCGAAACTTTTGTTTCTGTCCGAGTCGGTACCGTTTTCGTCCTCGATTTCCCTTCGTCGTCGGATCGGCATTTCGATGTCTTTCTCCCTCCGGAAAGCGTCCTCAAGGTCGAAACCGGTCCGGATGAGGAGGGGGGAGTCGGAGGGAGCGATGCCCTCGTCCCCCGTGGGAAGGCCGCCGCGGGGAAAGGAGAGCGCCGGAAGGCGAGCGCTGAGAGAGGGGAAAGGAGGACTGGAGCCGGAAGGACAGGAAGGACAGGAAGGACAGGGAGGACAGGAAGGACGAGAGGTCGCAGCAAGAAACCTTTCCATATAACCCCCTCTCGGCCCGAGCAAGCGACACTAACACAGCCACGCAGCGCGAAGCGATCTTGTGACAGTCTCGCCGACGCGTTTCCCCAGCGACCTTCCTGTTTTTTCACAGGAATCCTGGCGGATTCGCGAGCATCCAGCAGGCCTTTTTTTTTCTTCGCTCAACTCCGTCCATTTTTGGCCCCTCGAGTCGCTCGAATCTCCCTCGCGGTGATTTCGATGGTGTCAGCTTTCCTCTTCCTGTTTTCGCGGATCCGTCGGCTCTTTTTTTCCGCGATTCCGCGACCCATTTTCCCTTCTCGTTTCTGAGATAATATTTCCTCATTCCGTTCGTTTTTTTTCGAATTATTCGAGTTATTCGAGTTATTCGAGTTATTCGAGTTATTCGAATTTAAATTTAAATAATTTAAAATTTTCTTTGGATCGTCTGGAGATGAGCTAATTATGATCCTCCCTCCGCATCATCCAGGCCTTCTCATTTTATCCCCAAATTTCTTGGAACCCCGAGACACCTTTCACCGCCACGATAAAAAAAAAAAATTAAGCATCAGCCAATGTGCAGAAGGATTTTGCCAAATTTTGATACATGTCATGCCCAGATTTGCTTGCCAAAATTACAGCTGCGTAATTACAAAAATTGGCCGCGATCGAATCCCAATGGGAATCCGAAGCAAAGAATAAGCAAATATATATATAAATTTTAATTCCGTACCCAAAACTTATCACTTCCACTTGGGAAATTTTATTTTTTTAATTATTTTCCGCAGAGTAAAAAAATGACCGACTTCCTTCTGTCTGTGTGTCTGTCTGTCTCTAAGCGTCGGAAGTCGAAAATTCTTGCCTCCATAGATTTGAAGAAAATATTGATAAGACCATATATATATATGTATTTTTTTTTCCTTCTCTATCGCGCTGGTATGTGTCCCAACTTATCGTAACGGAGCAACGCCGAATGAATCCAGTTCATTACACTAAAGGCAACGTTATCAGAAGCCAACAGGAAGGAATCGGATGTTGATATGCATGCCAGAAATAATGGTACAACATTCTCTCATGGTACCAATTTTGGTACGACATTCCATGGAGAGAACAGCGAAGATCCCCTGCGCGTCGGTGAGGCGAAGCATCAGGATTCTCACCATAGTCAATTTTGGTCTCATAGTCAATTTGGGTCTCATAGTCAATTTGGGTCTCATAGTCAATTTGGGTCTCATAGTCAATAAGGCTTTGCGGCGGAAATCTCGACTTGGCGCCGCCAATGGCGCTTCGATCGGCTGGCGACCGCGAACCCCCGACCCATGATGTCGGCCGCGCATGCGCACTGGGTGCGGCATGACGCAATGGGCGCAATAGGCGGACGGAGTGAATGGGACAAGGCTGTCTCAGCTGTTTGCTATGGGTGGCAGATGATTTTAACCCTTTGGCGCATAAATACTGTGAATCATTTTCTTTCCGTTGCAGGAGCATAGTTATCGCTTTTTCGCTCATTCTCGACCTGGCAGAACTGAACCGTCCGCGTTTCTCAGGCGATCCCCCGGTAGCCTCGACCGCGCGGAATCCCGACAAGATGGGGAAATTCGTCTGGCTCGCCCTCGTCCTCTGGCTCGCCCTCGCCCTCTGGCTGCCCGCCGTGGCCGGACGGGCGCGCTGCCCCAAGGCGGATCAGATCTTCCCTTGCACGTGCGACAGCCACGATCCCGCGGCGAATTTCCACGAGCCCGCCGTGGATTGCTCGAGGGCCTGGACGAGTTTCGAGATATCCTTTTCCTTTCAGAGAGCCTCCTGGCCCACCAATCTCCTATGGTGAGTCTCTTCCGATTTCCAGGGCGAAAAGGGAATCCTTGGCTAGGCACGAGATTGGGGGTTGACTACTTTTGTGGCAGTCTCCAGAAAGAAAATCGGTCGTTTTCTTTGCGGTAATTAAGTCGGTTAAAAGCTCGGTTAAAGCTCTCACAGGAATCAAGAGTGTAGCTCAAGAATTTCCCACATTGGTAATCTCGCGAGTTCTCAAGGACCGAAAGCAATGTGCGTTCCTCCACTTCCTCCCTGCAGGGAATTCAAGATGCTTAA